AACCCCATTAAGAAAAATTTACAGAAGAAAACCCCCCTTTAAAAAATTCAGAAAAAAAGAGAGGGGGGGGGTATTTGCGGGGAGGAACCTTTACAGAAGGGGAGAGGTTTTTTTACCCCGAACGAAAGGAAAAAAATCTTTTTGTTTTCCCTCCCCCAAGAGGATTTAAAATTCTCACCAAAAAAAACCCCCCCCCCCCCCCCCCTCTTTTTTTTTTTTTTTTTTTTTCACTGGCGGTAGGATAATGTAGCGGCTAACAATCGCCTGCGCAGCCATATCAAGGGAAAGGCGAGTCATAAAATAGTCAGCGATGGTAAGAAATGCCACAATGCCGTACTATTGATTATTGCAGCGCGGAACTGGTGGTTCTAACCTTCTGTTCTCCCGCACAGCCCGGAATTTGCTGTGCAATATGACCCATCGTGGTGCGGTTGGGTCTGATGCGAGGGACGGCGATGGAGCTGGAGTGATGACCAGCATCCCGCACAAGTTCTTTGTGAAGCACTTCGCACGGGATGCCGGCGTCGAGCTGCCGCCGATCGGCCAGTATGCCACGGGAAACTTGTTCTTTAAACCTGACCCTGAGGCACTGAAAGAATCTATAGTTACCTTTGAAGAACTGGCCAGAGAGCTCCAGCTGCGCGTGTTGGGCTGGCGTGATGTCCCGCGCGATTCCACCTTGCTGGGCCCTGCGGCGCTTTCCCGCGAGCCCATTATCATGCAACCGTTCGTTGTGCTTCACTCTGCCTATGGCGACGGGACGAGGCCACAGAATACAGACCCAGACCAGTTCGATGACCGCGCTTTCGAACGCCAGCTGTATTTCCTTCGAAAACGCGCGACTCATGTACTGGGCCTTGCCAACTGGTTCTACGTCTGTTCCCTTAGCAACCGCAACATCGTCTACAAGGGCCAGCTGGCTCCCGTCCAGGTCTACGAGTACTATCATGATCTGGTCTCCGTTGACTATGAAGGCCATTTCGCGTTGGTCCACTCCCGGTTCTCCACAAACACATTCCCATCCTGGGATCGCGCTCAACCCCTGCGCTGGGCTGCGCACAATGGCGAAATTAATACTTTGCGCGGCAACAAGAACTGGATGAGAGCCAGAGAAGGCGTTCTGCGATCGGAGATTTTCGGTGATGAACTGGACTATCTCTACCCGATTGTTGAGGACGGTGGTTCAGACTCCGCCGCCTTCGACAATGTGCTCGAACTACTCACCATGAACGGAGTTCTGTCCTTGCCAGAAGCCGTGATGCTGATGGTCCCGGAGGCGTGGCAGGACAATCCTGCGATGGACCCCGCAAAAGCTGCTTTCTACGAATGGGCTGCTTGCCAGATGGAGCCTTGGGACGGCCCTGCGCTCTTCACCTTCTCTGATGGTCGTTACTGTGGCGCTAACTTGGATCGCAATGGTCTTAGGCCCTGCCGTTACTACGTTACGGATGACGATCGTATCATTTGCGCATCCGAAGTCGGTGCTATTCCATTTGATCCCGAGCGCATTGTTGAAAAGGGGCGTCTACAGCCCGGAAAAATGCTGCTCGTTGACACTCTGGCTGGAAGGATCATTGATGACGCTGAGTTAAAGAGCACTGTTGCCAGCCGCCATGATTTTCGAGCTTGGATTGAAAGAGAGCTACTTCGCCTCCCTGAAATTCAGAAAAGCCTGATGCAGAAAAATGTTGACCTAACATACGCTTTGGACGATTCTACAGTCCAGGGTGATGTAAGACTCCATGCTTTTGGCTATTCATACGAGCAAGTCAGTCTCATTTTGGGTCCAATGGCAGCAGATTCGAAGGAGGCGCTTGGATCTATGGGTAACGATGCCCCTCTTGCATGTCTTGCTCAACAGCCACGGCTTCTATATGAATATTTCCGTCAGCTATTTGCGCAGGTCACCAATCCTCCAATCGATCCAATTCGAGAGGCAATTGTCATGTCTCTTGAGTGCTACGTGGGTCCGCAAGGGAATCTTCTGGAGATGGATTCTTCGCAGTGCCATCGCCTCCTGCTCACTTCACCTATTTTATCACTGGATGAGTTCAGTGCGATCAAAAATATTGCGTCAATCCATGCCGACTGGCCCGTCAAAACGATCGACATCACGTTTGAGAAGGCAAAAGGAGTTCAAGGTTATTTGGACGCTCTGGATGATATCTGTAACGCCGCAACGGAAGGTATTCAAAACGGCGATAAGGTGCTTATCCTTTCCGACAGAGCCACCTCCGCTGACCGCGTTCCTGTCTCTGCTCTTCTTGCCACTGGCCTCGTCCACCATCATCTCGTTCGAAACAAGTGGCGGTCGCTAGCTGCTTTGATTATCGAAACAGCAGAAGCTCGAGAGGTACACCACATGTGCGTCCTTCTTGGGTATGGTGCGGATGGTATCTGCCCTTACCTGGCTATGGAATGCATTCTGAAGATGAACCGTGAGAACTTGATCCGCAAGGAACTTTCTGACGAGAAGGTCATCGAAAACTACAAGGCGTCAGTTGATGGCGGTATCCTCAAAGTAATGAGTAAAATGGGCATCTCAACTCTCCAAAGCTACAAGGGCGCCCAGATCTTTGAAGCCCTCGGAATCGATGACAGCGTTATTGATCGTTGTTTTGCCGGCACTGCCAGTAGAATAAGAGGTATGACATTTGAGCAGATTGCGCAGGATGCATTTGCCTTCCACGAGAAAGGCTTCCCATCGCGAATTATTCGTGAAATCCCTGGTTTGGCTGAATCCGGCGAATATCATTGGCGTGATGGTGGCGAACACCATGTCAATGATCCCATCAGCATTGCCAACATTCAGGATGCAGTTCGCACGAAGAACGACAGATCTTATGAAGCGTATGCACGCTCAGAACATGAGCAAATCAAGAACTGTACCTTGCGTGGATTGCTCGATTTTGACTTCGAACAACGCACTCCAGTGCCAATTGATCAAGTCGAGCCGTGGACTGAAATAGTTCGCCGTTTTGTCACTGGCGCCATGTCTTATGGGTCCATTTCCATGGAATCTCACTCTACCCTTGCTATTGCAATGAATAGGCTTGGGGGCAAGTCGAATACGGGAGAGGGTGGTGAAGATGCGCAGCGTAGCAAGGTGATGGAGAATGGCGATACAATGAGATCCGCCATCAAGCAGATTGCTTCTGGCCGATTTGGTGTTACTTCCAGCTACCTTGCTGACGCCGATGAACTTCAAATTAAAATGGCCCAGGGTGCCAAACCTGGTGAAGGGGGAGAGCTTCCTGGCCATAAAGTTTCCGCTGAGATCGGCAAGACCCGCCACTCCACCCCTGGCGTAGGCCTTATTTCACCACCACCGCATCACGATATCTACTCAATCGAAGATTTGAAACAACTCATATACGATCTGAAGTGTTCGAATCCTCGATCGCGCGTTTCTGTCAAGCTCGTCTCTGAGGTGGGCGTTGGTATTGTTGCTTCTGGTGTGGCCAAGGCCAAAGCAGACCATATCTTGATCTCAGGTCATGACGGAGGCACCGGAGCTTCTCGATGGACTGGAATAAAATATGCTGGGCTTCCCTGGGAGCTCGGTCTTGCAGAGACTCACCAGACACTGGTTCTTAATGATCTTCGCGGCCGTGTTATTGTTCAGACTGATGGCCAGCTACGCACTGGTAGGGACGTGGCTATGGCGTGTTTGCTTGGAGCAGAGGAATGGGGCTTTGCGACGGCGCCTCTCATTGCTATGGGTTGTGTGATGATGCGCAAATGCCATTTAAAGTAAGTATCAACGTCTTTCCTTATCCTGACGCTATGCTATGTTGTTTGTTCTCCTGTGACTCGGGGGTGCTTTTTCCGCGAGGATATTCGACGAGGTTTTGTGATATCTATTTAGGAAACTGCTATGGCTAACTTTTGTTATCTTCGTCTAGCACCTGTCCAGTGGGGATTGCAACCCAAGATCCCTTTCTCCGACAAAAATTCAAAGGGACCCCTGAACACGTTATCAACTTCTTCTACTATATTGCGAACGAAATGCGAGCGATCATGGCCAAATTGGGAATCCGCACTATTAACGAGATGGTCGGCCGTGTTGACCTGTTGAAGATGCGGGATGATCTCCCTTCATCCAAAATGGAAAATATCGACCTGTCTCTCATTCTCACTCCCGCCCACTCTCTGCGCCCTGGGGTGGCGACTTACAATGTTCGAAAACAAGACCACCGCCTCCATGTCCGTCTGGACAATAAGCTCATTGCAGAATCTGAACTGGCGCTGGAAAAAGGCTTGCCATGCCGTATTGAGTGTGACGTCGTTAACACTGACCGCACAATGGGTGCTACTCTTTCATACCAGATTAGTCGTCGCTATGGGGCGGCTGGCCTTCCACAAGACACTATTCACGCAAATATCAAAGGATCCGCAGGTCAATCCTTCGGCGCGTTCCTTGCACCCGGTGTAACCTTAGAGCTTGAGGGTGATGCCAATGACTATGTTGGTAAAGGCTTGTCAGGAGGCCGTTTGATCGTGTATCCTCCTCGCAGCGCGGTTTTTAAATCCGAGGAGAACATCATTGTTGGGAATGTCTGCTTGTATGGCGCCACACTTGGTCACTGCTACTTCCGCGGTGTAGCTGCGGAACGATTTGCTGTACGTAACTCTGGCGCCACAGCGGTCGTAGAGGGAGTCGGTGATCATGGTTGTGAATACATGACCGGAGGCCGTGTTCTGATTCTCGGACCGACTGGCCGAAATTTCGCAGCTGGAATGTCTGGCGGTATCGCCTATGTCCTCGACGTGAACCGGGACTTTCACTCGAAAATTAACATGGAAATGGTTGAAGTTTCTGGGGTAGAAGACCCAGCAGAGATTGCCTTCTTACGCGGGCTCATCGAAGACCATCATCACTATACCGGCTCAGAGCTTGCAGCCCGTATACTTCTTGACTTTACTCGGGCCCTAAACCATTTCGTCAAAGTTCTTCCCACCGATTATAAGAGGGTACTAGAGGAGGAAGCTAGAAAGGCTGCCGCCGCGAAAAAGCCTGAGTTCACTCTTCCATACCAGTCCGGAAATCCTACAGGGGAATCCGCTAAAAAGCTCCACGATAATCGCGAGGAAACCAAGAAAAGTGATCTTCTAGATATCGAGGACAGCGTTGGGGACTCGAAGACGGAGAAAAAGCGCACTGCCTTGATCCTCGACAAAACCAAAGGTTTTATGAAGTATAACCGCCATAGCGAGAAATATCGTAACCCAAGGACTCGAACTCGTGACTGGGCAGAGTTGAGCACACGTCTAACGGACGATGAATTGAAGTACCAGTCCGCTCGTTGCATGGACTGTGGTGTTCCCTTCTGTCAATCCGATACTGGATGCCCCATTTCCAACATTATTCCCAAGTGGAATGAACTTGTCTTTCAGAATCAGTGGCAGGACGCGCTTAATCGGTTGCTCATGACAAATAACTTTCCAGAATTCACAGGTCGCGTTTGCCCAGCTCCTTGCGAAGGCGCTTGCGTTCTTGGAATCATTGGAGACCCCGTTGGTATCAAGAGTATCGAGTGCGCAATAATCGACCGTGGCTTTGAAATGGGCTGGATGGTTCCAACTCCCCCAGCAATTCGCACAGGCAAAACTGTCGCCATTATTGGCTCGGGCCCGGCTGGCCTTGCTGCTGCGGATCAGCTCAACCGTGCTGGCCACAGCGTGACTGTATATGAGCGTGCCGACCGTATTGGAGGCCTGCTAATGTATGGCATTCCAAACATGAAGCTTGATAAGAAGATCGTTCAGAGACGGGTTGATTTCATGGAGGCGGAAGGTATTAAGTTTGTTACCAACACTACCGTCGGACCAGAGGGAGATATATCTCTGGAGCAATTACGGAAAGAAAGCCAGGCGGTCATAATCGCCACTGGTGCGACGGTTGCAAGAGACTTGAAGATCCCCGGCCGTGAACTCGACGGTATTCACTTCGCCATGGAGTTCCTCCATTGCAATACCAAATCCTTGCTGGATTCTGGATTGTCTGACGGTGAATACATCTCCGCCAAAGACAAGCACGTTATTGTCATTGGTGGCGGCGATACTGGTAATGATTGTATCGGCACCTCAGTCCGCCATGGGGCCAAATCTGTGACCAACTTCGAATTGCTCCCGCAACCGCCCCCAGAACGGGCTCGTGATAACCCATGGCCTCAATGGCCTCGCATCTACCGTGTCGACTATGGGCACACCGAGGTGAAGACTCATATGGGCAAGGACCCCCGCGAATACTGTGTAATGTCGAAGGAATTCGTCGGCGAGAACGGCGTGGTTAAAGGAATCAACATCAATCGTGTCGAATGGACCAAGAGTCCGTCTGGCGGCTGGGACATGAAGACGGTTGAGGGTAGTGAGCAATTTTTCCCCGCAGACCTTGTTCTGCTCTCTATGGGTTTCTTGGGACCTGAGGACAGGCTGCTCGGGGACGAAATTGAAAAGGACGCCAGAAAGAACATCAAGACACCCCCCGGCCAGTATTCAACCAATGTACCAGGTGTTTTCGCTGCTGGCGACTGTAGGCGTGGACAGTCTCTGATTGTTTGGTAAGTTGTTTTTATGCTTTTCTATCTCATAATCTAAAGATTTTTGCTAATATATAATTATTTCAGGGGTATCAATGAAGGTCGCCAGGCTGCCCGCGAAGCCGACGCGTACTTGATGGGTACAAGCTCTCAACTTCCTGTAACTGGAGGAATTGTCCGCCGTCCTGCGATTGACTCTGTGCCTATAGCGCAAGCGCAGGCCGCTGCCGCGTAAAGCTTGAATGATATCTTACTTAAGCGCCTGCCAGAGGCAACTTTCCGGATGCATCTACGCTCTTGTATTTAAAACAGTGGACATTATCGATGCCACCGCTAGCTCGGGACGACGATAAGCGGGGCAAATTGGACCCAGAGAAGTACGATGCTGATACATCTGGCGACCTGTCATGGACTTCAGAAGACGGAATTGTTATTTCTCATTATTAATAACATACTCTCAACGAGCGATGTGGCGGGAATTTTGAGATGCATTGAGCGACTTTGATATTTGTTCGTTGTTTGATTTTTCTTCCCTTATTTTTTGGGGAAAAGAGGGGCCAATATATATATATACCCAGCGTATTTCAGCTTCTTTTGGCATTAGTTGCATTTTGTTACTTCGTTTTTGGGGATTTCTTTCCTCCTCCTTGCCCCCCCCCTTCCCTCTTCTTCGCGCGTCGGTTTGTAACATTTGGTTAAAATTTGTCAACTTTCTTGCTTCTGAACGAGTTCCAACCTTGTCGGCTCCTTCTATGTGCCTGCCATGTGTGCGTGTATATATATATATATATATTTATTTATACAGCTTGTCTCTTTTCCCTTGCGTACGTACATCCTTTTTCTACCAATCTCCGTCTCGAGTTGTGAAAGAGGATTGGAGAAGAGAAGGACAACTGCGCAGCTCGATTGAAAACATGGTTGCGAAACTAGGAATTTATTAAGCAATACCCGCCCTAATCTCTTTCGGCACCCAAATCTCATCTCTTAAGCTAAGGGTTTCTTGCAGCCGTGTGAATGTATTATAATAGGCTGAGCTTTGTGACGAAATAATAAAATGGGATCTAAGATAAGAATCAGAGTAAAATATTGTTACAAGGTATATATATATATATATATATATCTAGTCAAACATTGTAAATAGCAACCATCCCCTAAAAAATACCAATAATTAGGAAGAGACTCGACTCCTCAAGCGCCCTCTTCCCCTTTCTCCCTTTGCGCCGCAGCCTTCATCTCCCTTTCCAAGGCCCTCAAATCCCCCTGAAACGCACCTCTAACTGGCTCCGTCCGGACATCCCACACGTCTTCACTACTAGGCCCTGTCTTATACTTGACAGCCTTCTTACGGTATCGGTCAGAGATCATCTTCGCCTTCTCCTCCTCCGAATAGGATCGGGTGCGCATGCAAAACCAGAAATCAGACCAATGCTCGCTACATGAGCGCAGCTCGCCGTATCGGTATACGTTGACCCATTGGCCTCCGAACGACTGGCAGAAAAAGGCGTAGTCGAAGGCCGATCGGCAGGACATGGTAGTCGGGTATAGGGTTTCGGGGGAGATATTTGTAGGGATTTCAGTTGAATCATTATTCGAGGTAGAAGAAGGTGGGTAGTAGGTGGGTTCGCTGGCGGATGGTGGTCTTGTTGTTGTTGTTGTTGTTGTTGTTGTTGACGATGACGATGATTGTGATGAGTGAGAGGATGTAGAAGTGTTACTCTCATTCTGGAAGCTATTTAGAAGGGATTGTAACTCTGCTTCGGCGAGTTCATCGCGACTGACGGGCTTGAGGTGTTCGGGGAGAGTTGGCTCAGGGCTTTTCATGTGGTCGGGCGGAGATTGTGAAGGTGCAGCGCGGGGAGGTTCAGTTTGCGACACCGCTTCTCCCTGGTTAGGAGCGGAGCTCCACCACCAACCCATTGCTTGTTGTTACGGATGCGACTGTTGAACAGATTGTCCGGCGTCGAGGTATACTATATACTAGGTTTCAGCGGCGGGTAGCGCAGAAAATTGTTAAGGATCGGGCGATCAATTGTTGGTTCACGCGAACGCTAGCTGATTTAAATATATGCGTAGAGCATGTGGCTCTATGACTGGGTCTTATCGCAATCTCCTCTGTCAACTATCGCAGCTGGTCTGGACGAGATAGCTCCATTGGCTTGTCGCGACAAAACTAGCCCTTGATATTGCGGCGCAAAAATATCGAAGGGCACGGGTCATGTGATTTATGGGCAACGATGGATGACTAAGCTCTCTCACTGACCAATCTACGTCATAGCGCCTCTGTTTTATCTTTTCTCGGCCAAGTTGGAACGTCCCTGTTGTATTGTGAACAAAGTCATTGAACATCACCATGATGGGCCGCCAGTATTCGATAAGCATTTGTTTCACTGCAGTATGATAGGCATCCTGGGGAAGGCGTGTCTCAGGACACGCCGCCGCCCTCCAACCGGTATCGCTTGGAATCTCTCCCGCCCTGCTCTCTGCACCTATAAGCAGCTCAGGACCAATTTAAACCATGCTACTATACAGTCACGAGGAGACGAATCAGGGCATATACAAGCTGGCTCAAATGAAGCCATAGCCTATGTTGACAGTATGTATACTTCTGTTATGGGTACGAACCACATTTTTCAAGACTGATCCAGCCGCATCTCAGACTTATTTCCGCTCAGGCTGAAATGGCTGCGCGAGATTCCATTTACCACTCCAGCAACTGGTGCCGTTTCTGCAGAGCTTAAAAAGCGGATAGATAGACCAGATTTTGCAGCTTCAGAGCCACTGTCAGTCGTACAACGGGCTTTACCGCCCGAGCTACGAGGTGAAATAACCGAAATTATACCTCGCTATGATGAGGGCGGTGCCTTCGTTAAGTTTGCCCTTGACTCTGGAGTTGATGCTACAGAGCTGGAGCATCAACTAAAAGATCACCTGGCAAAGAACCCCATCAGACCATGGTTTAACCCTTTTTATACCACCCACGCCGCATTGGTGCGAGGCCGACCGTGGATAGAGGATCTTTATCGTATCCCTAGCAAAATGCTCAAAGTTGAATTCCTCCCAACATTTCCTGAAGCATCCGCAGCAGAATTAACCCAGGAAACACTCTATTCATTGGCCAGACGGTATGGCAAGTTGACGGACATTGTGGCGCAACCGTCAGATTCCAAAGTTGTACCACGTTATGCACTCATTGAGTACAATAGGCTTCGAAGTGCAGTCGCAGCTAAAAATTGCTTACATGGTTTCAAAGTTTCAGAGGCAGAAGGGGGAGGAAAGTCAGAGACTCTGCTTAAGATCACCTATGAACAGAAAACGAAAAGGGGATGGATACGAGACTGGCTATTCAATCACCCAAGAATCGTAATCCCTGTTCTGGCCGCACTTCTCGCGACGATTACCGTTATCATCTTCGATCCGATCCGCACGTTCTCTATTAAAATTCGAATCAAGCCGCCTCTCCATCTGGAAGATAACATTGTCTGGCAGTGGGTGCAACGGCAAGCTAGCAAAGCCAACCAAATGATTCCGTTCGGACGCCATGATTCGGAAACTGGAGGGTTGAAAGCGGTATGGGAGGATCGGAAGAATGATATTCAACTCATCAAAAGTTGGCTGCTCGAGGTTACCAGTACTTTAATCATAATCCAAGGACCACCTGGTTCGGGCAAAAAGGAGCTCGTTTTGGATGAAGTGTTGGCGGATCGCGACCACAAATTAGTTATAGATTGCAAACCCATCCAAGACGCCAATGGCGACACCGCTACCATTAATGCTGCCGCTGCTGCAGTTGGTTATCGACCTGTCTTCTCCTGGATGAACAGTGTCAGCAGCGTGATAGATGTAGCGATACAGGGGACTACGGGCGCAAAAGCTGGTTTCTCAGAAACACTAGACGGCCAACTTGGAAAGATTTTGCAGAATACCGCGAATGCCCTGAAACAAGTGGCCCTTGAGGAGAGGAAAAAGGACAACAAGCATGCCAATCTAAGCGATGAAGAGTACTTGGAAGCTCATCCTGAAAGCCGTCCAGTGGTTGTTATCGATAATTTCTTGCATAAAGCCCACGAGAATCCGATGATTTATGAGAAACTGGCTCAATGGGCTGCAGCGTTGACTACTTCCAACGTTGCTCGCGTGATATTTCTGACTACAGATGTTTCAGCTTCAAAATCATTAAGCAGAGCTCTTCCGAACACTGTCTTTCACCAGATATCATTGCAGGACTGTTCGCCGGAAGTGGCAAAACGCTTCGTCCTTGAGCATATCCGAGCTGCGGGAGAAGGGAAACAGCAAAACGGCACCACCGAAAAATTGGAGCACATGGAAGGACTTGATGCTTCTATTCATGCACTCGGTGGACGTCTCACCGATCTCGAGTTCCTAGCTCGGATGATCAAAACTGGATCAACGCCAAAAGGTCAGTAACTCCTTCCAATGTGATGTATCCATTGCGTCCACCTGCTAAACTATAAAAATAGATGCCGTACAACGAATAATCACCGAATCATCGGCCGAAATCTTGAAAATGTTTATCCTCGATCTCCCTACCACTGAGAAGCCTCACTGGTCGCCTGAACAAGCCTGGTATCTTATTTCGAAATTGGGAAAGAGCGATTCAGAAACCCTGCGATATAATGAAATCCTACTTCACCCCTTATTTAAGAGCGATGGCGAGGCTGCAATCCAAGCCCTGCAGCAAGCTGAGCTCATATCCGTTGCCAATATTAGCGGCTCTTCGTCAACAATCAAACCAGGAAAACCTGTGTACCGTGCCGCGTTCGAGCAGCTTACCAACAATAAAGCCTTGAGCAGTCGATTCGGCATGGCGATATTGGGGCGGTTGATTGCAATGGAAAACCAAAACATCCAGAACTTAGAGAAGGAGTTACAGGTGCTCGGGTCTTTCCCAAAGCAACCGGGTGAAATTGCACCGCGTGTCCGTTGGCTACTGGGGAAGCTGAGCAGTTCGCAGGTTAACGTGGAGAAATATGAAAGGGAGGCTTCTTTGTTGAAGAGGATCCTTGAGGTGGAGTAATATTCTTCTTCAATGGTATTTTTTGTCGCTGCTTGCAGGGGCAGCAGTATGGCTAGTAGTTACTATTTTGTGTCCTAGGCCTACGAATGCTAGAATTGTTACTTTGGATAAGGAGGCATTTCCGTTCTTGGTGCATTTGCAAAGTTATATTCCCCACTCTCAAAGTTGATTATTAACTTTTAGTACAGTGAATAATTTATAGAAGATAGCAAAATTGCCGGTGTCACTTCCACTTGAAACCCACAAAAACTATTAGGACAACCTTCGTTCTCTCATAGGGAAACGGTAGTACACAATGCCATATATAAAGCCAGCGAGGGAATATACAGGGCTGTCGACATGGTCGACATGGATCCTCAGACGACATCCTTCAATTCCGTCTTTGGTTCAATATACCTGCTCAATGTCTTCCTCTTAAGACTCTTTTGCTCATACGCATAGGCCATCCCAATCAACGCTTCTTCGCTCCAAAAATCGCCTAGGAAGCTTAGTCCCATCGGTACCCCAGGGGCCCAGAGCACAAGATCTCTAGGGGTAGTCACCACTTCTGTGCCCACTGGCCAGGCACCCATAGGCACAGTCACAATGGGCGAACCGAGAATGCCAGGTCCGATCGAGGCGAGGCTACTTGGTAAGACGATAGCGTCAAGCTTGTTTCTGCGCAGAGCACCGAGTACGCCGCCTTCCCCAGCTAGCTGCAGAGCATTTTGATATTTTGGCCAGAATTCGGGGGAAGTGTTGTTGTAGCCGAGCGCGAGAGCGCCGCCCCAGGAGCCTGTGTTGCGGTCTGGATAGGCTTCGAGCGGGAATGCCTGGGTGAAGTCGCGCAGGTCGGAGAGCGTATTGATATTGTTTGGATTGGTTTGGAGTTTGGAGAAATAGTTAGCAATGTCATTTACGAAGTCTGCGGAGAAAACTTCCCCTGGTAAAGGGCTAGTATTGGATTCTTCGAGGGCAGAGTAGTTGGCATCCTTAACGATGATGGCCCCCGAATCAGTCATCACTTTGACAGCAGCGTTAAAGTTGTCAAGGATTTCAGGAGCAACCTGCTCGAGTACGTTTGTTGGGAGTCCGATCCGCTTCCCTTTGAGCGACGAACGTTGGCAGGCTGCTACGTAATTAGGGACATGATCAAAGGGGAAAGCGGATGTGTAGTTGTCGTTTAAATCCGGGCCAGCAATCACTTGGAGGAGCTTGGCGGCGTCCTTAACGGTTCTAGCCATGGGCCCGATGGTGTCCATATGCTGGCTGATGGGAACCACAAGATAGCGGGATGTGAGCCCAACAGTTGGCTTGATACCGGCAATGTTGTTTTGTCCACTAGGGCTAACAATGCTGCCGCTTGTCTGGGAACAGAAATTAACCTCGAAGCTCAAGGCGCTGTGTGTAGTAAGGTGGGGAAAATAAATTCAAGATAACTACCTCTGTTCCAAGAGTAGCAAAGCTTAAGCCTAAATCTGATGCCACGCCGCTCCCGCTCGAGCTGCCACTGGGATCTTGTTTCGGGACATAAGCTCCAGTCACTTGGCCGCCATAAGCGCTCCAGCCATTGCTAGAATTGAATGAGCGGAAATTGGCCCATTCACTTAAACCTGCCATTCCTAAGATGATTACACCAGCTTCCCTCAACTTTGCGACCACTGTAGAGTCTTCGGGAAGTTCTGCTCCCAAAAGAGCATAAGAACCAGCTAGCAACAAGGTCGTCAGCTACCAGTGTCATAAAAGAAATCCCACTGGCGAGCGCAAGGCAATTCGGGAGAGTTACAGGTGGTATTCATCTTGTCCGCGACGCCGATATTGCCCTTAATGAGAACGGGTAGCCCATGTAGTGGTCTAAACATATTGAGTCAATATCGTGTTCAAGCGTTTGGCGGAATGATTGGAGATCACAAACCCGCGAAGCTTCCCGTGCTTCCGTTCCACATCCAGACGTCGTGCAATGGCAATCGCGTCAGGGTTCAACTCGGCCACAACCTGTAGTGTCGAGTTCACATCCGCGATCCTTCCGATATAGGCCTACCCTCCAAAGTTCCGCTCTTAGCGGCATTCATAACTCTGCAGGTAAATTGAATGGAACGTATACATGGTTCACAAACATTAACTAAATCAACGCTGGTAAAGCATCCTTTTGACAGTCCTGCCTGTAGCTGATTTGAAGTTGCATCAATTAAAGATGGAAAATGACAGCAGCGGGCTACAGTATTATGATTTAGTAGCCAACCAATTGATACGGAATTGGAGATAGGATAAAATGAAAACAAAGGCTACCTGGGACCTTGTCGACAGCTAGTGAAGCGGCCGTAGAAAGGGATAGAGAAAGTAACTGCAAAACCCTATACACAAAAGTTGGAAGAAACATTGCGATCTCAGCGTAATGACCCGTGGTGACAAGCTTTGAGGCAATTATGGACAGAATGAAAAAGAAATGAAATAAAATGAAAAAAGGAATGGACGGATTCCAAATAAGAGATGAAATTGAGAATATATCAGGGTAGCCAAAATAGACGTGAAATCCGCGGATGTGGGGATGTTCTTATCACGCGCTAAAGTTGCACCGCATTGATACATTAATTAATGATCAGAGCGGGAAATTCGTCAGTGAGCTACGCCTGTAAATCATGCGGACACTAGCAAACTCTCCGTGCGACGTGATAGCGTCGCTCAGCTCATAATAACGCAGCGATAACGAGAATCCGGCGTTGTGCGGCTGAGGCGGATCCACAGACAGGCTGCCGACGCCTGCTGGGCTCGTCGAGCTTCTCATATCATCGAAGATTCAGGGGTTGCCGGTGTGGGGGAACTTCCAGGCTAGGATCCAAGCGAGGTAGCTAGAAACAGGAAACTCATTAATATCATGATAACCACCCCGATGCGGAACCTAGTTCGGGGTGCGATTGAGCTTGGGGGAACGTCAACAACGGTCTGCCGGCCAAAATTTAGGTGATGCATTTCCCGTCCAATCTTGGTTGTAAGAGCAGTCCGGCTTGGCGGCGGAGTTAGTCAGCACCCGGCCATTTTAAGCTTAACCAAAATCTTTATTTTGACGCCAGACCAAAACATTTTGTTGCCATCAGATCAGGTCGGAACTACTACCGGCCCGCAGCGAATATTAATTGATCTAATCTACCTTTAAAGAAAAAGCCTGCCTGAGGGATTTGCAAAATGTGCACATGAATATTAGCTGGTGATCTTGACGCCTTTTTACTCGCGGCTCTTATGGACTTCTTTTTCCCCACCGCTGTGATATCTGAGGCATCATCTACGGTGTAGACCTCTTTTGTACCTGGTGTTCTTTCTTTGCCTTTCTGTGGCTACAAGCGTCCACGGGTCGAAAAGCCGATCTCAAATACATATATGCATATGACCCTCTAGTTATATGAGCGCTATGGAGAATGCAATTATATCAACCCTTTCTCTGTCTCGAGAAGGCGCTGTGGAGTTTGTGTCTGAATCGTACTTCAAAATAATCATAGCCTGTGCTATATTAGTATGCATTATAACACGGACATATAGCGGCTTCCGTTCCTGTTTCAGAGGCACCAATGCTGATGAAGCATGGAGACCCAAAACCCTCCCATACTGGGTTCCATATTTTGGGCATGCCCTCTCATTGGGGTTCTGCCGCCGGAGCCTACTTAAACATGCTAGGTCAGTCTTTATATAAACTCCTCTACTTTTGTACATTCCTTGTGGCGTTATTGCCCTCAATATTTGCATCACCTAATATTTTTCTATAGAGACACCACCCCGGAGCCTGTTTTTAGTCTCTACATCTGCGGCCAGAGGCATAACATAATCACATCTCCATCACTGGCCAAGGCTCTTTTGGCCGAGCAAAAATCGTCGATCGTGCCCAATGCCTTCGCCACATATGCTATGGAGCGCGTTTTTGGAGCGCCAAAGAGTACCAGAAAACTCAACCGGGCCGAATTCGACGCTCAGTGTAGATCAATGGAATTTCAAATGCAAGATCCGCTTGCATCCGACTGTTCATCTGCCACCATCCAAAAGATCGAGCAGAACATGCCAAATATGTATACCTTTCTGCTCGAGTGTTGTCGATCAGTATCTATGAGAGCGGATGAGCACCATAGACCTCAGTGGTGATGGCGACGATCAAGTTTGCGAAGTAAACCTCATACCTAGTCCGGAACTTTGTGCTGTAACTGTGATGACGGCATCATGGGAGAAGACTTCATGGAAGCACTTCCAAATACCCCGGATGATATTAGGAAATTTAACAATAACTTCAATGCCATTATCCTGGGGATCCAACGATGGGTTCCCTTCCCAGGACTTCCCACCTCATATCGGTCGCGACGTAGGCTTTTGCATGGCATGGCGGCCTTTCATTCCGCGTTCGCAGTTGCAGAAAATGGTCACGATCCCGGATTCGACTGGCGTCAAATTGATGAAGTTTCCGAATTTATGCAAGACCACTGCCGAGCATGGAAAGACGCTGGACTTTCAGCTACGTCAATGGCTGCAGAAAGTCTAGCACTCTTATGGGCTATGGACACGAAACTGAACACAATCATATTTTGGAATCTCCTTCACATCCTAGCTGATGGCCCAATCCACTCTCGGATCATGAAGGAAATTGCCCCCTATTCTCAAGCCGGGCGGCCGAATGCTGGCGAGACGGGGTTCAGACTACCAGAACCGCCACGAGTATCGCTGGATATCGATCACCTTATTTATTGCCCGTTGCTCAAAGCAACCTACTATGAGACCCTGCGCCTGCACTCATGTCCAATCACCTACCGGAAGATCACTAAGGAGTTCAAACTAACCGAATCCGCCAGTGATGCGAAAATCGCCAACCGAAAACAACAGACATACCAGTTTAAAGAAGGAGAATTTATCGCAATACCGCAGACTCTTCACAATACCGATTCACACTATTTCGAGGACCCAGAAGAATTCGAGCCAGAAAGATTTTTAGCGGAGAAGGCAGTCGATACCAGCGAGTCTTCCGAGAAGTCTAGACCATCTAAAAAACGGGAGTCGTTCACTGCCCAACCGGAGCTTGCACTTAAAATACCGGAAACATGGACTGTCTATGGTGGCGGCGGGCATACTGTGAGTCAGGATGGGAAATTCGCTGAAAGGATAACGTTGGGGTTCGTTGCTGGTTTGTTGGCAATGTGGGATATTCAGCCGGCTAAGGGCTTAGGATGGAAGATACCGAAACGGAGAACTGGTGGGCTTGTTTATGAGCCACAGACTGATATCAGGGTGAGGATAAAGTCGAAAGTGTAATTTAGAACGATATACGGAGTTTTATTAAATCTTGCACTTCATGTTTATTCTTGCCCTTTTACTTACACACAATATAATCCTTTTCAATTGCTTTCTCCCAATGAGGGAAACTGGGTTTACTTCCTAGATCGCCGTCGCCATCAACCAAGCCGCGACTGGAACTGCCCTTTGAATTGCGGCTGTTGCCCAATGCCTTGCGCTGCATCGACAAAACGTATCTCATGATATCAATCTTGGATATGCTCTCTTTTCTAACAAGAGTTAGTGGATGAAAACGCTACGGACGCTTTTCCGCTAGATATCTTCTTGTGAATTTAAGGGCAGGAAAAGCTCGCTATCCCGAAAGAAGGCGTAAATTTCAAGCTGAATATAATATATTATACAAGGGATAAATGTAAATGATTTGGGATTCTGGAGCTTGTCAGGTACTGTAGGAACAATCCGAGTTGATAGATCGTATCTCGATCTAGGGTTAGGGTTAAATTTCCCAAACGCTGATTAAGCAGACGTGATAATTTGGCCGTCGCGACGCGTCTCACCACAACCCCAGTGAATTCCAATCCCAACGTCGCCGACGACACCGACGACGTCAAGATTGAGCAGGGCGTTTTAATCACACATATCTGTGCCATTTTCCACTAGGATATCTGCTCCAGTTTTTGTTGTATAGATTGCGCTGTCGCGTCGTATTGCGCTGTCCCAAATGGCTTCAGAAACCGTTCGGCTCAGAGGACGTCCAGCCCGTGAGTGATTCCCGCCTCAAATAATTGTTGCAAGCTTCATTAAATTGCTTAGTTCAGAATGGATGTTCTGTCGGATATCATTTTTCAATCTCAGCGTTAATAGTTGTTTCTCCATGCAGATACGCCGGGAACCACCATTCTAAGTTACACCCCAAATGGCCGACAAGTGATCACCGCCGGGTCCAACTCTGCAATTCGAATATTCACAATTGGAGAAAAAGATGAACCAAAGACTGTGGATGATGGAGTGGACGGGCGTTTGGGAATTGTTGCTACTGTACTATTTGCCAGTTTCCGTTTAATCGTGAAGATATTTGGCATCGATAAACTAACCCTGCATTTACTCCGAAATAGAATGATTCGTTCATTATGGGCGCTGAAGATGGCACGGTATGGAAATATGAATTAGCAACAGGTCAAATGGATAAATTGCTGGTCCGTTGCGCATTACCCGTGCGAGACCTGTCACTATCAAAGGATGGGGATTGGGTGGCTGTTGCCAGCGAGTATGCATTCTCTTACGCTCTATTGCTTCAAATGTTCTTAAGCTGACCGCGACAAATTTTTGTTCTCAGTGAACTCGTGGTCAAGATTGTTAATATTCACGATATGACTATTGTAAAATATCTACGGGATCAGTCCAAGGGCGTTAAACATGTGAACTTCGACCCTAGTGGACGTTTCATTGCAGTATCAGGCTCTGATGGGATAATTTATATATACTCCATCGACAGCCCGCAGCCGGAGCTTGTTAAGAAAATTGATGGGATAATTGGCAGACTGGAAACAGACCATGAAGCTACATCGCGGGCCGTGTGGCATCCAGATGCACGAGCATTTGCTGCGGTTGAGCCGACAAGAGATATTGCCATAGTGTCTACTAGAGATTGGACGAAACAAAATGTTTTCCCTGCTGGCCATAATGCAGATATTACTGCACTTGCCTGGTCTCCGAACGGCGCTCTATTGGCAAGTGCTGGGGCAGATCGGCAAATTTTGCTTTGGGAGACGAAGAGCCAAAGCATTTTGCGGAGATATGACATACCGAATGTGATAAATCTTGCTTGGCACCCTGTCGACAATACCCTCTCTTTTACTACTTCCGATGGAGAATTATTCATTTATGAAGATTTTGTCCCCCCAGAATACAAATCACTGCTTGATAAACCACTGGAAAGCGCGCCCTTACTCTCTGCGGCTCACGAAGAGCATAGAAGTATTCCAAGCAGGCCGTTGACGAATGGCGTACGGACTGGCCTGGAAAGTCGCCAGAGACGTGGCACCCCAGATTCCCTAGATGATATTTTAGGCCCCATGGACGAAGATGACGGTTTCATTGAAGACGACGATGGAGCTGGCTATGTAGAAATCAACGAATTCGGCAAACGAGCTCCTAATTTCCGGGATGACCTGGACGGACATGATCATAAACGACAGATGGGCATGTCCTTGCAGTCGAAACGACATGCCTCATTTCAGCCCGGCAGTACCCCTTGGAGAGGTGACAGAAGATATCTCTGTAAGTCAGCCGGGATATGATTCCACCATATACCTTCTACTAAACTACTATATAGGTCTTAACCTAATTGGATTCGTTTGGACTGTTAACCAAGAGACACACCATACCGTCACGGTTGAGTTTTACGATCGGGAACGGTTTCGAGACTTTCATTTTACAGACCCCTTTTTATATGACAAAGCCTGCCTGAGTAGGTTACCTATCCCGACTTACAGTAGTAAATATTCGTGTGCTAAGCTCTTGTAGATGAGAAGGGCGCTTTATTTTCTTGCCAACCATCGGGTGACCATCCAGCTACAATATTTTATCGCCCTCATGAAACGTGGACAGTACGGGCTGATTGGCGAACTCAACTTCCTGAAGGAGAAAGTATCACCGGTTAGTAGGAGTCACCGCTGGTGGTTGGGTTTAGCTGCTAACCATGCATTAAACAGCCATTGCGCTAAGCAATTCTTATATTGTTGTCACTACCTCTGCCGATTATGTCCGAGTTTATACACTTTGCGGTACTCCGTTCCGAATTTATAGGCAGAAGAGCCGGAGCGTTACTTGTGCGGCATGGAGAGACTATGTCCTAACCGTAGGAAACGGGCCCGTTGGCAGTGATGGAATCACTACATTAACCTACTCTATCGAAAATGTCAAGCGGGACGAAATTTACCAGAACGAAGATCACGTAGCTCTACCTGATTCCACCGAGCTTCGAAGTGTTTTCTTTTCAGATACTGGTGTATGCTTTATAACACTTTTTTTTTTTTTTTTTTTAATTTGCTCTGACTGAAAATATGATGCTGACATTCCTCTAGGACCCTTACATATACGATTCTTCAGGGGTGCTGTTAGTATTAGAACACTGGCGAGAACGTGGACAGGCGCGCTGGGTACCGGTTCTTGACACTAAGCTCATGGACCGCCTTAGTGGCGGACGGAAAGAAGAGACGTACTGGCCGGTCGCCGTGGCGCAGGATGCGTTCCACTGTATAATTCTCAAAGGCGGAGATCAATATCCTTACTTCCCCCGACCATTACTTAGCGAATTCGAATTCAAGATTCCAATATTCTCAAAGCCGAAGAAGCCATCTCCTAGGGATGGCGAGGACGAAGACATGGACGATGCTGCAGGTCGTGACTCTGTTAATAAGCTTGAAGAGGCGTTTATACGTTCCAGCCTCTTCCTCAGTCTGCTGAGTGACCGTGTCACAGCCTCAGAAGCTACGGGCGGTAGCGGAGAGGTGGAATTGCGGAGGAAGGAGATCGATATTGACAAGATTGTGTTGCAGTTGCTAGCAGTTGAATGCCGGGAGGGCGAAGAGAGGGGGATGAAGGCCCTTGAACTCGTTTCCATGATGCGGGATCGTAGCGGGAAGATGTTGGATGCTGCGCGCAAGGTTGCCCAGCGGTATGAACGGACTGTTCTAGATGAGAAGATTAAGGAGTTGGCGGAACGGCGGCTTATGGGTGCGGAGGATGATGATAATGATGATGACGAACTTGCTTGAATATTGGGAAATAAGACATCTAGCTACTACTACATCTGTAACATCGCTATGTATTTCAGGTGTGAAATTACATCCTGCGTGTGCAAAATATAGAATATTTTTATAGTCTATGATCTTTACGGAAAGCTATATATATGGCTTTATACAGATTGACACCCTGATTGCGGCAATGGTCCCGGATGTTACCTTGTCTCCACAGGGTTCTTGCAGGCGGGCGGAGGCTGTAGAAGAATGCCATACTACAAATCACATACTCCCTATGTAGCAATCTGAAGGTTGGAATAAGAAAAGCCCTCTAACCCAAAACAATCTAGCATAAATTCTACGTCATTTGCCAAGCCTACCTAAACCATAGACACTCATGCAAATTCAAAGTACGCGAGAAGGTGACTCTAGATATCATGCACCCTTTGACCAATCAAGTACTTCTCATTTCCCTTTTGCGATGAGCTTTATGTTTCCTTAATCTCAGGAATAACAAACCATGGCCAAGCTCCGCTTCCCCCATCATCTCCGCCAAAGTAGCATTCTCCTCACCCAGTCCCGTCCCCCACAAGGGACACAGGCCGCACCGCTACATCCCCCAACGATACAGCTCTGTGCCCCACACCGTGCCGATGTGCGTGTTCCCCGTCGATATCTGGCTCAGATCCGCCATGATGACTCTACAGAACTAGGCTTCTTGCAGCCTACGCCGGTTTACTTCTCTGCCTACAATCCTCAGCGATGGAGTATGGGGCTGGGCAATGATAATGACAACGGGGACCATAAGCCAGTAGATGAGCGGATATTGAAGCTAGGGAAAAGTATAACCCCTTCCTTATATCCATTGATACCTTTCGCGTATTTTTGTTTCCAAAAAATGTCTTTGGATAGTTGGCTAACCGTTTTCACACTTCCTCCCCACAGCTCTTCGCATCCTCTCCTCCCATCTTCCAGGCATCCTTGTCAACCCACTACCACAAGAGATCCTTTCACCCAACATATCTCTTCATCTGTTCCCTTCGACACACCCCCACCTCCCTACAGTGAAAGGCAGAGTGCCCTACCGCGCAGCTTTGTGGACAGCCCCAGTAGCCTGGGGAAGTGTCCCCATAGTCGGCAACGTCCGGTTAGAGATTATGAGCGAACGAATGGTGAATGCGCCATCCATCGTGGAATACGATGAAGAGCATAGATACGGTGATGAGAAGCTAGTAGTGCGCTGGCGAACTGAAGGCGGGGAGACCGATTCCACTGGCTACTTCAGGAAATCTAGTCCAAAAGGCATTACACCGGCCGCCAATGGGAGAACTGCGACGAATGGCTCTACTACTGCCAATGGAGATATCGGGAGTAGTCGTACAACGCAATCAGCGCTGTCATCCTCATCTAATGGAACAAATCGTGGCCTCAGCAAGCTGTTAGGCGGGGACGCGCCGATTTTTAAATTAGGCAAAGAAGAACAGTTTAGCGGGCTGTTCATCTTCTTGTTTGATGACCAGGGCCGCATTGCCAGCCATACGATTGAACATGCGGACGAGAGTAGTGGGTGGGATAGGACCGCGAGGGTTGTCACCCTAACTGACTGGCTGCTTGGAAAGGCCAAATGGGGGGGATCCCGAGGCGATGCTGGCGCTACGCCTGCACTCGCTGTTGGTCTAGAGCTTTCGCGGGAGGACAAAATGTTGTTCAAAAACGACCCTTGAAAGTGAATTTAAGATGATATACCTAGGACGCACGCACGCAGTTTGCCATACCCAAGTGTCTGCTTACTCGTTTACTTTGAATCGCGCCGTCATAATTTTCCAAACTTTCCCATCCCTTCTTCAGCGCGCCATACAATAGTTTTGGTCCGTTGTTTTCTTTCAAAATGATCTGCATTGGCGTCCTCGAGGGATTTTCCTAATTTTCCATTCAGATCGAGCATGGCTTTCTTCCTTTTGTTGTCACATAATTATAGTCTCTACCACTACTTCCCTGTCCTTGATTCTATCTCACTGTCACTTCCTATTCCCCATATCCGGACATGAGGTACCGACAGAATTGAGTGGGGCAAATTTTCTTCTCTTGGAATTCATAGTTTGGACAGCAGGCCGCGGAGTTTGGGAATGGCAGCGTCCAGGCGACTATCCCTTACGGCTAAAGATATGTATACTAATTTTTTCCCTTTTGTCGATTTCAATTTCAATTTTCTACCTTCAGTCTTCGGGCGCGCACTACGGGAGCTGGGAATTGGGCTGCGGTTGGGAAATTGATTATTCGAATATATGAGCAATTGTGCATGGATGTATGTACATGTACATGTACGTATCAACACATATGTCCACAAAGGAGACGTATAAACGCAATCTCCACTTTTACAAACGATTAGTTGTGATCCTTCTTCAGACACCTAACTAAACTTCATGCTTCACCATTTGAAAAAAATAAATAGAAAACCCATTTTATACCGTATTAAATTTCCTCCTACCCGTTTTCTTTTTCTTTTTCTTTCTATTACTCATTCTACCTCACAGCCCAATATTTCATTATCAGTTAAATATAATGTATGTGCCCCTTTTTCACCATATCATATGCAGGCGGAACTCTAGCGAACAAAAGTGTAAGAGGATGCAACCGAAAATCCCAAAACAAGAGAAGGGAAATACACAACCGAGAAACCAAGAAATTACAGAGGTGACATTAAAATGAAAAACCTCCACTCTCATAACCCCTGAACAAATGTCTACCCGCTCTTTTTCCCTTTCAGGAAATTATATGTCAATGACATTCACACACTATCATCTCACTTTTTTTGAAACACCAGGCGCTTTCAATCCTCCAAAAACAAGTGCACAAACGGCCAACATCCCCAAGCCACCAACCATATACGCCACCTCCCGCCCCGCCCACCAAAACAATGTACAAAAGACAATCGGACCTGACGCCCTCCCCGCTTGGCCCCAGCTCCTCAACCTACCCAAAAATGCTCCCCGTTCACCCTCGCCAGCTTCCAAACTGCCCAGGCTATTTAAGCCGGTGACCACCGTTGCACTGGTGACTGCCAGCAGGCACCCGGCGCCGTAGAGACCTGATACAGTGGAAACACGAGATAGGAGGAAGAACGAGAGCGTGCACGCAGCAACACCAATACGGACGGTCAGGAGCGGTGGCAGACGGCGAACCACCGTTCCTTGGAGGAGGGAGGCGAGGAGGCCCATGACGGAGAGGAGGCGGCCGTTTAGGGCGGATGGGGAAAGAGATGGGTTTGTGGAAGCGTAGAGGGTGGTGGTTAAGAAGGGGAGGGAGAATTCGAGGCCGGAGAAGGGGAGGAGGAAGAGGAAGTGGGTTAGGTTTAGGAGGATTGGGGGGTTGGTGTATTCTTTTTTTGGTGTTGGCGTGATGTTGATATCAGAGGACGATTTCCGCTCCGCTTTCATGGCGTTCCCGTTCGATTCGCCACCTGCAGTGGCTGTAGCAGTGGGAGAATCCTTCCGAAGCTTCGCAAATCGTGGATGCGTTTCCGGCAGACAGAAGTATATATAAACCGTCTCCACCACAATAAGGAGTAACGAACAGCCCGCCGCAGTCGCGAACGGATTATCCGCCACGGTCGTAATCCCCGCCAACGCCGCCCCCATCGCCGGCCCAAACGTAAACGCAACACTAAAACACGCGCCCACAAGTGCCATTGTCGCTCCCCTCTGTCCCTCATCACTAATATCCGTCGCAATGGCATTCGCAATTTGCACATTCCCCTCGCTCAGACCCCCGACAATCCGACTACCCAGGAACGTCCGGAAATCCGTCGCAGCTACCCAGAGCGCGACACTGGCGATGTTCCCCGCCATGGAGCAGAGAAGCGCGGTGCGTCGGCCATGATTGTCGGATAGGTGGCCGATAAAGGGGGCCGCAATCGCTTGGAGGAAGGAGAAGAGGGAGCCTAGGGCGCCACCGAGGAGGACGACGTCGTATCGCGAGTCGATGGGACGGGCGAAGGCATTTTTGTAGGCATTTAGGTAGTGTAGAATGCGGTGTAGGAGAGAGGTTGGCGAAGGGTTGCGGTTTAAGTAGAAGGCTAGGAGAGAGGGGAAGAGGGGGAGAATAAAGGTGAAGGAGATCTGGAGGGGGAGGTGCTATGTTAGTTCTGGTTTGTGGTTGCGTGGGATCAATTATGCTGAAAGATTTTGGAAATTTACTTACCAAGTCAAGAAGGAGGGAGATAAATAGGACTTTGAGGATCTGTTTGCGCCGTGACGGAGACACAGTGGTTGCGGCCATCGTTGCGCAAGCCGGAAGAGAAAAGGCCAGGAAGTGAAGAATTTCAGCGCATCCTACGAAGGAAATGAAGGTATATAAAAATGAATTGGTAAACTCCTAACAGATGGCGCACCCTGAAAAAGAAGAAAAGTAGCTTGCAGAGTATGAAACACAGAAGAAACAGAGAGTTGTCGGAACCCTGATGCTGAAACTCGACGCGGAGGTTGGGATACCACGACTCTGTTGATGTCGTCACTCGCGCTGAGCCTCAGGACACGTGATGTTCGACCGCTCAACTTAAGCCTAAAATGTTTTAATTTACTCCCTCCCATAGGATAGGCATCCAAAAGAAAATGGCGGCTTGTTTTACTGCTCTGTACGGACGTATGTACTCTACTTTCTTCGCTTGCGAGCTTCCACTGCATCTACGTCTACGTCGATGTCATTGTCGAACGAAAGAAACAACCAAATAATGATAACTCTCGAACCAAACTTGCATTGTCCCTTGGTATCTCAATCAATACCAACCCTCACTTGCAACTCAATGCCATGACCCTGCACTAGCTACAAAAAGAAGAAAGAAAGCATACAACTCCGCAAAACCCCTAATAAAAAGGGACGGGAGGGAAAAAAAAAAAAAAAAAAAAAAAAAAAAAAAAAAAAAAAAGCAAGTCGTAAAAAGGCGCCGTGAGTCTCGAATTCCAAATGGAAAAGAGAAAGGTCAAGGCAAAGATCCAAGCCAAACCTCCCGGCCCTCTGCAGCCCCATTTCACCCCTTTTCGTTTTAGATGATAGAAAAGAAGAGAAGGAAAAGGGAAGCAGAGAGATCGGCAAATATCCATCACCACGCGGCACCTGTCGTCAAATTCGTCTCACAACCGCGACACACCCATTTGCTATGGTGGAGGTTTGGAAGGTGAAGGTTTTGAGGAAAGAAGTGGGCAGTAGATAAAACTACACGGAAGAATAGGGTGTTTTGGGAAAAGAAACCAGACAGATGATAAAAATATGCAGAAAACATGGGGAATAAGATAACCGTTAACAGTGCCAAACGCAACTCACTACCATCACTAATGGGAGGAGTGAGTGCGCTTGGCACAGTTGGTAGGTAACGCTGGAGAGCAATGGGGAATTTCTGCTTTTTGTAAGACAAAAAGAAAGCTGGCTTGGTAATTTGGGGGAGGTCATTAGATAAAATATATAAAAGCAAAACAAAATTTCCTAGAATATGAAATGGGGAAATGGAACATTACATTATGCACGCTTTAAAAGGACCAAACTAAAAAATGACTTCAGAGAGAATAGATCCCAAGCGCCTGTCAATTTGGTTAAATTTTTCATTTCGTCACCGCCGATGAAATCACAGAAACATGCTGGTAGCGTATATAGGTAGGAGGAGGGTAGATGTGAGGGATTTGAGGGCGTGGGGTCTTTCTGGTCTTATATTTCCTTTCCTGTCCGTTCCTTTTCCTTCCAATTATTTTCTTTTTATTTTTATCATTCGTCTTTCCGTTTCGTTTCGTGGGCTTCGTGAGTAAGGTGTCTGCTCAAAATGAAATGTGCTGAGTGTGGGTAGGTGTGGGGGTGAGATTGTTTTTTTGCCTCTCTTGCGATGAGAAAAAGCGCGAGAGCAACAAGGGAGAACATGAGGAGAGGTGACGGTGAGATGGATATCTAGAAAAGATTGAATGCGAAAAAAAAAAGAAAAGAAAAGAAAAGAAAAAGAAAAAGGGACTGGGGTATTCGGTATTTGGCCACATGGTAGAGAAATCGCGGTGTGCAATGGATGTCAATGGAGAGGGAACATGCGGAGAGAGAACATGAGGAGAGAGCAAGGTTGAGGTACAGAGATGATCAAGCGGTTTGTTCAGAGTATCCTAGAGAGGCAAGGGGAGGGAATCTTTCTCTTACCCCGGCTCCGTCAAGAGCCTTACACAGTGTGATCCGTAGGGGCTGGGGTGCCTTGAGATGGTGGGGGCGGTCCCTGCGCGTTATTATAACCGCCGCGACCACGGCCACGATATTCACCCCCACGACCGCGCCCGCGCCCGCGATATTCACCACGATCGCCACGGAAGCCTCCACGTCCCCGGAACCCCTCACCACGAGGTCCACCACGGCCACGGAAGCCTCTGCCGCGTCCACTATTTTGCCTAGTGTGGTGGCTGACAACTGGTTTGAAACCGTCATTTGGCTCTGGAGTAGCCCCGCCTGTGGAGTTCTGCACTGGAATATCTTCAGCCCAGCTACCGGACGTGGGGAGTGTTGGTGGCGCACCTTGTGTTGTTGTTGTTGTTGATGTCGCTTCTACATCGGCTTTCTCGACTTCGACCCACCCCTCAGCAGTGGTAGAAGCAGACATGTTTGATCCTTGGTTATCCCATTTCAATTGAGCTATTGGGTTTGCGGCTTCGTTGTTAACAGCGGATTGGCTTGGGGGAGAGGAAGTTTCTTCTGGATGTGGCGTTCCAGAAGATGAAAATCCGTTTGTGGTAGTGGTTTGTTGAGTAGCCAAAGAAGGGTCATGAAGTTCAGTCATACCAGCGTTGGCCATGGTAGGGTCGGTAACGGCATTTGTTTCAGCAGCAGAAGCTGATTCGGTGGCTTGGGCCCCCTCAGTCCACCCTTCAGTAGCCGGGGGGGTGTATTCTAGAGAAACTTGTTTCACCCTCGAGTCTATTACCTCACAGTATTAGAATACAACATGAAACGACCTAGATTTTGAAGGGGATACTCACATGGCACGTCGAGAGGCTCCGCGTCAACACTTGGAACAATGTCCTCCGCGCCATTGATCAGTTTAACCATAGCGCTGACTGCCTCCTCGGTTCCCCCATAGACCTGGAACAACGCACCCTCAAATGCCCGACTGTCACTTGAAGTCTCGTCTCCAGAGCGTCTCATGGCTGCAGCAGCGCGCAAAAATTGACTGAGCACCAGCAATCTTTGTTCAAATGTCTTTTCAGCAGATTCCAGCGTCTCCGCAGTCACTTTCTCTTTGAGGGCGTTTAACTCATCCTTGTGTGCCTTCTCTATTTCAGTTTTCTGGCTGGAGAGGCGATCTTCATAGTATTGCCCATATTGTTTGTACTGATTTATTTGCTCCTCGATTTGGAGTACGGCTGCTTGGAGAGCAGGCTTCTTCAAGGCCTGGGCTTTTTGGTCCGCATTGATTTTCTTTTCTGCAACCAGTTCATCGAGAGACTTGCCTGGGTTTTCTGCAGTGATATTATCCACTTTGGATGTGGCATTCTAAGAGACACGGCTATTAGTCACACAGCTAGCAGAAAAGACAAAAAGGGGAAAAAAAGGTACCAATTTTTTGACAGCATTCCGATGGCTCCTATATCAAGGGGGTTAAGTTAGTTCTATGATAAAAAAAAACCTTTGCTTTAAAGTTGAATGCGGAAAACGTACTTAAGCAGATCCTTCAGAAAGGCGGGTTCATGGGCACCAGCCACCCCATTTGGAGTAGATTCTGTGGCGGGAGTTCCAGGCTTTGGAGAATCTACTACAGCTCCAGACACGCTGGAAGAGTTCTCACCCTTGGCACGCTTCTTCTTAGCTGCCTTGGGTTCAGACTGGAGAGGTGGATTGGTGACAGCAGTAGACATGGCTTGTTGGGGTTACGGAGTGTCGTGTGACGGGCAAGGAAAGCTCAAGATGTTTCCCGCAGGCGCAAGGTGTAAACAAGAGAGTCGCGGGGGACGCGTAAAGGGTATTTGGATCAGGAGTAGTAACGAAGGGGAGTAGGAGAGAAAGGGTGGAGTTGAGGTTGTAGGAGGCTTGCGCGTTGTGGGAGCGTTGTTATTGTTTTGGGGTAGTGGTGGTGGTGGTGGAGGAGACGAAGTGGTTTGTGGAGAGAGCTTTGCCGCGATGGTCGCCGAGAGAAGGTGGCAGAATTTGCGCGGCGGTCAGCTCTCTGCCAGCTTCATAGAAGTGATGTACTGTACAGTGCGGAACATGAGTGATTTATTTCTTGGTATGTAGAGGCAATTAATAATTCTCTTTGATCAATTTTGGTCCTACTAAGAAAACATTGTATCAGGATCTGGTTCATTCCCCGTTTGAAATTATTTACTCAATTCACGACAAATCATCTACACCTATCCTATGGTGCAGCGGCTGGACAATTGGATCCCAAACTGAACAACACAACAATGCATTCAATTGATACTATGTATAATGATGAAACTGCATTAAAGATAACTGAATACAGCAACGCCAATCCGCTCAGGGTATCATGTAAAAAGAAGAGAAAATCCCATGGTATCCCAAAACAGGAAAGCCCAACGCCATTGCTTTTCCCCGTTCGTTGCCAATTGATCGAAAATCCTCGGAGACCGCGCGTAGGGTTTAATTCATCCTTTGAATTTCCGTAGCGTACCCTGATAGGCAATATTGCGGGCCTCATGTTAGCCAGACCCGCTGCTTCAACGTGTAACCCACACGGGGAGTCAGAACCCACTTCTGTCACCTTCCTGATGCTTCTCGCTGAGAGAATTTTCTCTCCGCCTTTTCTTGAACGGATGGAGGCCTCGCGCATTAATCTGGAAAAAGGAAAGGGTCATTTTCACGAGCAATGATAATGATTCTGAATCCCCTATCGAGAAGGACAATTCGAGCTAGGAGGGGGACCAATGCCTACTCTTGTATGAAGAGCATGTAGTCCAGGAAAATCTGCTAAGTTAAAACCAAATGGAAAAATTAGTTAACAGTATTCAAGAGGACGTCTTTAGAACGTATAAAGTACTATTAATTGGAACAGACCAAGATATCTGCATTTTTAGAGATATTGCGCCTTGAATGGGCTTTCACGATGCGCTTAACTGTTGCGCGCGGATACAACTTGGGAGCGACAACCATAGTCAATATAGGAGAAGGAGATCCCCTCTTGTAATATCCCTAGATACTGTATGCATATAATAGAAGCACACTGAGGATCGTTCCTTGCAGTTGTCAATCATGTAAATGTAAGTTAAGAGGCTTCGTCTGGTCATCTCGGCGCGCCTCTGCTGTTTGTTTCTGTTGTTTACTTAATGCCAAGACCTAACTATCACGTGCAAAATTTAGAACTCTTGGCTGATGTCATATCGGATAAAGCATAGTCCGATAGATGGACTAGTCCAAATACGGAACGATGCAGCGGAATGGGCGAAATCTGATCTCTGGTTGGCTGGAAGCTTGTCCGCACTCAATCGGGGAATCAAACCAGCCTCATCATTGTATTCTTTCTGATTCTTCCAAGCCATCAGGTGCAGAAAAGGACAACTCTGAAACTGTGGTCGAGTCAAAGTCATTGGCTGTATATATGTGTATATATATATATATACAGAACCTCCGCTAATTGTTTCGGGGCTACCTACGCGACTATTGTTGGTCAATTGCCCATTGAGCCGCTATTTTGATTCAACCACACATCTAACATCTGGACGTTGCTGTTCAGCTTCGATACAAAGGGCATCTACCAACCACATCGCTTCTCCCATTAACCCGGCGCCCGTTACCATGCGTTTCGGCCTCACCCTCAGAAACTCTATTTATCCGCCTTGGAAGGACCATTACATCGACTACAAGAAACTCAAACAGCTGCTGCGCGAGCATGAAACCAGGGACGGCTCGCAGGATGGAAGTAGTGATGAAAGCCCCGAATGGACGGACCAGGATGAGGAGACTTTCGTTCAGGAGCTTATCAATGTTCAGCTCGACAAGGTCAATGCCTTCCAGGTCAACACCTATAAGCAACTACGGGATCGGACCTCAGACTGCGAGGCCAAGCTAGAACCGTTGGTTGTTAAGGATGACGGTTCTCATCAGGTAAAGGATCCCGATCAGAGGAGGGAGACGGCTGAGAGCGCCATGAAAGACCTGGATGCGATTACCAAGGAGCTTAGTGAGTTGGAAAAGTTCAGCCGTATCAATTTTACTGGGTTTCTAAAGGCCGCAAAGAAACATGATCGGAAAAGAGGCACTCGCTATAAGGTAAGGCCACTGCTTCAGGTGCGATTGTCCCAGCTTCCGTTTAATTCGGAAGACTATTCCCCGCTTCTCTATCGACTCTCGACTATGTACTCCTTCATCCGCCAGAACCTGGGCCACATTGGCCACGAACAATCTACTGAAGGAGCGCCCGCGGTGGATGTGCACTTGGGCCAGGATGCATATACCTCGCATAAATTTTGGGTGCATATGGACAATGTCCTAGAAGTGAAAACGTACATTCTCCGCCGCCTGCCCGTTCTGGTTTACAACCCCAGCGTGTCCGCCAAAGACCTACAAATGACCCATAAGGACCCCACAATTACTTCTCTTTATTTTGATGGTCCCAAGTTTGAATTGTATAACCAGAAGGTTGCTAAAACCCCTGGTGCCAGCTCGTTGCGTCTTCGCTGGACTGGCCAATTGAAAGATCGACCAGAGATTTTCCTAGAGAAGAAAGCCATGAGTGACGGGGATAGCAGCAAGGAAGTCAAAGTCCGCCTCAAGGAGAAGCATATCAAATCATTCCTAAAGGGGGAATACAAAATGGAAAAGATCATTAACAGGATGGAGAACCGTGACGTTCTGGCTTCAGAGGATGCTGATGCTCTGAGGAGGGATGTTGAGGAAATACAGTCCTTCATTCGAGAGAAGAAGCTCGACCCTGTTTTGCGAGCTACTTATACTCGAACTGCATTCCAGATTCCAGGCGATGATAAACTTAGGATATCCCTCGACACAGATCTGGCTCTAATCAGAGAAGATTCGCTGGATTTCGAACGTCCATGTCGAGATCCCGATAATTGGCATCGCACAGATATTGACGATAGGGAGATGGAGTTTCCGTTTTCAGAAATCCGCCCCGGCGAAATCTCTCGATTCCCTTATGCCCTACTAGAAATCAAAGTACGAGGAGGTAACCTACGCAGAGCAAACAAGGAATGGCTGCTCGATTTAATGTCATCCCACCTCGTCAAGGACGCTCCTCGATTTTCTAAATTTGTCCACGGTGTCGCAGAACTTTTCGAAGATCACGTTAACAGCTTCCCTTTCTGGCTCAGCGAACTGGAGACTGACATCCGTCGAGACCCCGAAATTGCCTTTCAGGAAGAGCAAGAAAGAATTGCAAAACAAGCGGAAGATGAGCTTGCAGTAGGAAGCTTTCTAGGAACAGGTAGTCGTCACAGTCCTTCAACCCGGCCCATGGTTGGATCACCCATCCACAGGGTATTTTCTGCCGAATCCACCCCAGCAGAAAGCACGCGGCCAGTTGACAGCACCCGACCCCTCACATCCGAATCGCAACCTATCCCCATCCAAGAACCAGGGACATTATCCCCACCCCCTTCACTGCCACCCTCTCGCCCCTCCGGTTTACTCTCATTCATCCCACTCACCATGTCCCGCTACGCCGCCGCGCACAGACAGCCCTCCTCCCCACTCCCACCCGGAGTTCGCGCCCCACGAACGTGGATCAAGGACTCCGGCCCCGTCCGCGTCGAAGCCAAAGTATGGCTGGCCAATCAGCGCACCTTCATAAAATGGCAGCACATATGTGTATTGCTTGCCACGCTCTCGCTAGGTCTATATAACGCTGCTTCTGACGATAATACCATTGCGCGCTCGCTGGCGATCGTATACACGTTCTTTGCTGTCTTTGCGGGTTGCTGGGGGTGGTGGATGTATGTGACGCGGGCGCGGTGGATTCGTGAGCGCAGCGGGCGGGATTTCGATAATGTGGCTGGGCCCATGGTTGTTTGTTTGGGCTTGGCTGTGGCGCTTGTGCTGAATTTTTGGTTTAAGGTATGTTTCATGCCTTTCTATTCTATCGTCATATATATATTTTTTAAATATGTGGACTCTCAACTAATTTAATCTGATCAATCGCAGTACACCGCAAAGGTATGGAATGCGGATGAGCCCAGTTCTCCTAAAGGCTCGACTACCTCCCCGGCAAACGCCACCAAGCAGGCTGTAGAGGGTGCGTGGATGCTTGTTAATCAAGCTGCTGCCGCGGCTGGCCGAGGGGGGATATAATGCATGATACATGAGCCTAAATAATATTGTAACTGGACGCTCTGGGCAAATGTCAATATATATGAAAATTTAACACCCTAAAAGTCGGAGAATATGTCGAAATGAGTAGTTGTTTGTCCGAATTGACGATAGTTTGTATATTCTGTATATATCTGATGATCTACTATATGATAAACAGTTGATAGGGGCGGCAGTAAATATGGAGACAAAATCCTGACGATGAGCTCTTTTTTGGGAGGATTTTTTTTTCTCCTATTCCCTTTGAGTATATAGCCCACTATTTTTGTAGTTATGCTGAATATTATAATTTTTTGAATACTAATTTTTATATTGAGTGGGAAGACATTTTTACTACTCATTGAAAGTATACAAAAGCAGATGAGTATAAGAGTGAGATGAGGTGAGACCATTATTACAACACTGACAAAATAGACAAATAGCTCGCATCCCAAAAATAATCATGAGCGTCCAGGAAATATTGTATAACGACGGAAAGAGAAATGAAAAATAAAAATAAAATAAAAGTAAAAGTAAAAATAAAAATAAACAACGAAGTAGAATAAAGGCAGAGTCAAATATATTGACACCGTAGTGTAATTCATGAATATAAAGCAAATATGAGAAATCAATATCAAACGTAATATGGAATATATACACACACATATGCTCACACTTACTTACACAATACACACACCATTGTACAGAGTAGAGAGGGGATAGCGGAGAAAAGAAAAAGAAACGTATCAATATTTAGAGGTAAATGAACCCCCAGAAGCCGGAACAGTGTAAAATTTGAAAAGCCGAACACAAAATGATGAAACAAATGTAAAGCAAATCGGAAACCAGACACTGACAAGAAAATAAAAGATGAACAAAATGAAGAAACTCAGAAAGGAAAGTGATGACTCCAACCACGGTACCTACCCTTTCGCCTTCTCAGTTTGTCAGCCCTAATTCTCACGCAACTTGTCATCATCATATACACATTAATATTAACAAGCCAACCACCATGGGCAAATTAAAATTAGTGACCATATACACATGGAAACCGAACTCTAGTCACCGCAATTAAACCAAACGCCGTTCAAGGCCCTGCATAAAAAGGTAGGAAAAAGAAGAAGAGAAGACGAAGAAAAAACGGTACTATCCATGTAAAGGGTAGAGACAACCACTGGGGAAAAATGCGACGGAAAGGGAAATTTAGATAAAAAAAAGGAAGCGGGTTGAGCGGAGGATTGAACTTGGTAGATGGTAGAATGGTAAGTAGATTCTCCATTTGTTCTCCCAAGTAAGGTTCCCCCCACCCCCTTTTTCTTTGTCCGCCAGTCCGATGTTCGCTGATCCCATTAGAAGCGATATCGAAAGAAGACTAAGGTTGGGGGGTTGCGTTGTCTTTTTCATCTATGGCCGATTTACCGAACAAGGGAAGTCGATGACCGAAATATAAGGCGAGCTGCCGTGTAAGACATGGTTGTTGAGTAGAGTCACGTTTCGTGTATATCCATTTGTCAAGCCTTAAAATGGTAGCCCGGAATAGGATAAAAGAGTAATGTAAGAGGGAGCTGGGAATTTTCCTGACGAATGACGCTATATCTTGTTATTCCGGTAGACGAGATGCAACGATGAATAATCTCTTTGTTTAAATGAACAAGGGAACAACAACCTTGGAAGCTGGGAGAGATGCTACTTTGGTTTAGTAATAGGATGCCTGTCGCAACTCATAGTTGGGCATGAAGTCGAACCAGTCCGTGCTTGGGTTGTACCTGTATGCCTTGAACTCGACGCCGTATGGTTTCTAAACAGTGGGGGGGAGGTCATTAGCCCAGCGCCTTAAGAAACAATTAGGATAAAAAATTCAATACGAACCGGCTCAAGCATATACAAAACACCCAACGGGACGTCCAAATCGGCTAACTCCTCCCTCTTCAATCCCCTGAAATAAGCCAGCAGCACACGAGCAACAGACCGGTGACTGACGAGCAGCACATTATCCGTCATTCGCTCAACTTCCACAATCACCGCCTTCAGGCGATTGATGACGTCCAGATACCCTTCCCCGCCAGGGCCGGGATAGCGATAGTGTAGCTTTTGACGCTTGCGGTTGGCATATTCTTCAGGAAATTGTTTGCGGATTTCCTCATAGGTCATGCCTTCCATCTTACCCGCGTTCAGTTCGTCTAACATGCGCATCTGTTTTACGTCATACTCCTCGTCATCGAAGAATTGGACCGTCTGGATCGAGCGGGTAAGCATGGATGACCAAATGCAGAAATTGCGTGGCTCAGTGTTCTGTCCGGCGTATTGCGGGTTGGGCGGTGTGCTGTCGCCAGGGCGTGGGGGGAAATGTGTTGACAGGGCCTTTGACTTTTGGTACTGCTCCCAGAGCTGGCGTTGCTCGCCGATGAATCTTGTCAGAGCCCTTGCGTAACGGATTCCGTTCTCGCTGAGTGGGGAATCGCCCCCGATCCTGCCGGCGACGTTGTCCAAACTTTCACCGTGGCGGCAGATCCAGATCTGTCGCGGGGACAGGTTGAAGTTTAGGAGGTAATACATGACTTGCGACGAGAGGAAGCCGTTGACTTGATGTGCGATCACTTTGCGACTGACATCTATTGTTTGCACATAGGGCATGTTGTGTTTCTCTTCATACTCCCCCAGTGATACATATGATTTCTCATACAGTGCGACACGCTTTTTGAAGTCCTCAAGAGCAAGGGTGGGATCCTGGTCCCTATAATCTGGGCCTGACAATTTCAACCGCATATTTGATTCCAACAGCTCTTTGTCAAGGCATTGGCTTTCTAGGAATAGAACGTTGAGTTCCGGTCCTGCTCGAGCGCGTATACGGTCCATGATCGCCTTGCGGCGTTTCAATGTGCTGTTTGTAGCATCTAGAATACCTATACTACCGCCCTGTTCAAGAATATAATCCAGAAGCTCGTCCAAGGTCAGCAGTGCAACCTGTTCTCTCAACTGAACAGCCTGTTCGTTCGCTGGGTCGAAAAATTGCGCGGACTGGTCTATGGATCCAGCTCCTGTAGATCTCATAGTGCCAATGGCAGGCTCCGGAGACAGCGATGCTGAGGATATACTTGCCGACGCCGGCTTAGATTTTGGATATAAATATGGCATATCACTCATGGGGCTAGGGTCTCGCGTGATTCCGTCCTGATCCTGGGGTGTTGGTGACTCGACCGCGGCACCATTCAAAAGAATAGCAGCTGGTGGTAGAATTTCATGTTCGGTATCCCTTCGACCCGAGCTGGAACCGCTGATGCTCATCTCGCGTACAGAATCTCTTATCTCATCCTCAAAGATAGAACTCCGTCCTGCAGAAGGCACAGAGCCACCTGCCGCCACACGTCGACGTTCACCTACGTTGAAGATCTTGGTGTCATGCTGCATCCAGTTCAGATAACGGGCCAGTTTCTTGGTGATGTAGCTCTTGCCACGTGCGGGCAAGCCCACCATGACGATAACCAACTTCGAGCCGACATCTCGCTGCGCAATACGGCCATCGGGAGAGACTTTAGATTTGGTCAGGCCGGGTATATCGAGGGTTGTTGCGCGGTGTTTTCCTGGGGTCGAAGCACCAGAGGAGTGAGAGCGGGCACCACTAAATTCAGCGCAAAGCGAGGCCCACGGTCAGCTTCTATTTTCAGTTCATGTGAAAAATATGATTGTGCAAGGGTCGACGACAGGGAAATCGCAGGATTGTGGGACTTTGGAGAATAGTATCGGGTGCGAATGTAACTAGATAACTGAATAGCCGGGGCCAGGGCCGGGGGTTCACGGGACGGCCCCGCACAGCCCCAAAACCTATATAAGGGCGCCCGACTCCCGAGCTGGATGGAGCAGAAACATGAAGGGCAGACGCAAAGAAATCTCGGCAACTCACATTTGCGGGGAGGGGGGTGCGGTTGAAAGCGGAGTGTCTGTCAGAGCCATCCCGACGCCGTCTCGGCTGGCCTGCGAGGGTGCGTGGGTCGCGGAAAGACTGCGGTGCTGATGATGATGATGATGGTGGTGGTGGTGGTGATGCTCAGGCGCCAGGGCGCGCCCGACCACAGTCTTGCATGGAGGCATCAGGCTCGGCTCAGGACTATGATGTATATTGCTAGGTCCGTGGCGCCCGTTGGCAGTGAGGTGGTCAGCCATCTTTTAAGCTGGATTGTTTGTGTCCAGAAGACGTTGGGTTGGCGATGGGAATAAAAAGGACAGACTTGGCGATGCTGACTTGTTGTGTTGCTTGGGGCGGCTGGGCGTCACAGCGGGTACATGATGTCACACCCGTTTCCCAGCAAAATACAGGTACCTACCGGCGATGTCCTCCGCCACTCTCAAGCTCCAAGTATGGCTCCGAGGTTGGTTTATGGTTGGAAGCAAAAAAGGTTCAATTGTATGCTTTTTTAAGTTCAGCGCTGGGGGTCAACTCGTTATAATTTCTACTAACTTCCCACAATTATGACAAATTTAACTGAGGTAACTTATCGAACGTCCCAGGAACCGGTATCAGCAGATTACACACATAACAACATTATTCTTCAAGAGTAAGTGTGAAAGATCACGACCTCTTGCAAGCTTCATCCTACAGGCTGGAAGCTGGACAACCTGGAAGCTCTGCAGCTCATCAACGTTTGCCAACAAAATCGAGACAAAACACTCGTATGGACTTAGTCCATGTTGGCCACATCCATTATCGCGGTTGGAGAGAGTTTGCCTATTCAAATAATTCAAATTTCCTCAAACCGCACCATACAAACAAAATATACATCTGGTGGCGGGCAGGAAAATAAATGGACTGATCCATGCTAGGGTGAGCCAGTCTGTTGGCGAAAAGGCCCCAATGACTGAACTTTAAGACACCCCAAGTATGGATTTCCTAACTCCCTTACCCCCAAAAACCAACAATTGTCCTCCCAAACTTGGAAAAAGATTACGATCGGTCGCTGTCCAGTTCACTCCAATCTAATCCATTTTGGGTGTCGCATGGCAACCCCAGAATCCCGCTTCGTGTATTCATGGTATTGACTGAGAAGGCTTTGTGTCCTGCACGAATATAAGACCATCATAAAGTTCTGTAGCATCAATATGAGCGGGGAGTAGGTGTAGAGTAGCCAGCGCTTCGAATGTCTCCAAATCATATGGATAATGAGATTGGAGGTCGAACCTAGACAGGTGGTGCTCTAGGCGTATCAGGCGTGGGTCACCAGGGTTGGGTGAGCCAGAAGTATAACGATGCAACATGGAACAGAAATACTACAATAAGCTCGCAGAGCCAGTATTGTATGGTTCGCTGCCTGGAGAGAGCATGACGCTCATGGTGTTATAAGGCTTCAAGTGCTTTAAAATCACCACGTTCGCGTTGTGCATTGTTGCCAGGCCCTGCCCTTATGGAGGTGGCAGCAGGGCCGGATGGTACCACCCAACAGGTGTCACAGGCATGTGCTCTTTATAACCCAATGTCCCTCTTGATGGCGAATCCCGAACCCCGACGTAGCACTCAGGCACCCATAAAAACGTACGGTATGAACGAATATAATATCCCATATCCCGAAACGCACCGCCTCGATTTCATATCGAAATCTAGATCCACTTCCACTTCCATCTGGACCCGACCCCTTCATATCTTCAACGTCAACGTCAACGCCAACAAGCACGCATACGCCGCAATACTCAGCGCCGTCAACACAACCACCACATTCCCACTCGTCCGAAACTTGCGCCTCTGCAAACCATCCACATCCACTTCGTTGAAGAACTGCCTGTTTCCCTGCTGGCGCCGGAAGAGGCCAATGGTCAACACACCAGCGCCATATACGGCAAATAGCGCACCGATGCTGTAGAACTCTGAAGTGAAGATCTTGAGGATGATGAGAGCGAAGGAAAATTGCGAGAGAGAGGTACGGATATAGGCGCCCTCGAAGGTCCGCTGGGCGGCGCGGACTTCGACTAATTCTTCTTGGGTGAGGACTACGGAGCGGGCACGGTGGAGGCGGAGACGGTAGCGGTCCGCGGCACGGCGCTGCAGAGAGGGTTGTTAGTCGGTTTCTGAGGAGGAGATTGTGTGCTGGTGGGAGGAATTTATAACTGACCTCGAACATGATGGATATATCCAGGCGTGGGTAGATTATTTAGAAGGCTGAGTGCTCTGATAGCCGGAAGAGCTGAGGTCCGCACCGATGGCAAACACGTATCTCTTCCTTAACACCACAAGTTGCTACTTCTCCAACAACAGCCGAATGTCGACATCGAAGGTCTTCAAGCTGTTGACAGAAAGATGGATGGAACCCAGCCGGATCACATGGGCGGCGAGATTAGTCAGCCCCGGAATGGGGGATCCATTCGCCCTTTAGCTTCCTTTAACTTCCGGGGAACAGACGATGAACTGTATGTATATCAATTACTCTATCCTATCCATTTACTTTGGCCGTTTGCAATAGCTTACTTCGTATACAATAACTAATCTGGAGAGTTTTGATGTTATTTGCTATTTTTACGAACAAGCTATTTGGCGCATTCTTCCGAAAGCGGGCGCACCGAACTGACTCGGGGCTTTCTCCGCAATTATTATTAACTAGCGCCATAGCTAAGCTTTAACCAGCTCCAGTTAAGGTTTTAACTAAGTGGCGTAACTACGTAGTAAGAGTTAACTGCTGGGCTTCGGCTATTTGCTACCCAATCAATGTCCTTGCAACAGCCAGCGGACTCGGCAATTTCCCCCGACGACAAAATACCAACCAGCCAGACCTTGTCTTGATGCTCTGATGATGAAAGAAAATAAGCAACTGCTCCCTTGAAGCCCTCCCTGTGCGCCTTATCTCGCATCGCAACATCATTTCTACGAATTGGCCACCTTGCTATCATCTATTCAGTGCATTTACTTGAGTTCTTCGAGGTCTAACTACTGGAAAGGGCGTCGAGGTGATATAGTTCACCATGACCAAGAAGATTCTAGATGCTCCTGAGGGTGAGGATATTATCCAATTGCTAAGGACACAATGTCGTCTTCCCATTAAAACTGGATGCTAATGATGAGGTAGTGGCCAAGCATAACAGCCCTGACAGCTGCTGGGTCGTGCTGTACGGGAAGGTCTACGATGTTAGTGGTCAACCCCTTCTCATCAGATATATCTCGTGCCCCGTTTGGGATTGAGGGCTACATGACCAGGCTGCATATTTCTATGTTTCTTTCTCATACGCTAATAAAAGGTCATGGCTCGACCGAGGAATCTAATAGGTAACGGAATTTCTCCCTCACCATCCTGGCGGTGCGCAAATCATTCTCCAGCTTGCCGGTAAAGATGCGACGGAAGAATACGACCCGATCCACCCTTCCGGCACCCTGGAGGAGAATCTTAAGCCAGAAGCATGTCTGGGCACCATTGATCCAGAGGCGTTGTCGAAGGCAGTCTCTCAAACTGAATCCAATACCAAAGCCGAGCGGACACGCAACGAAGCGCCGGCGATGTCCTCGCTCTTAAACCTCGACGACATAGAAGAAGCAGCCACGAAACAAATCAGTAAGAAGGCTTGGGCATATTACTTCTCTGCCGCGGACGATCTTATCTCTAAATCACTAAATAACACTATCTATCGCTCCATCCTCCTCCGTCCTCGAGTCTTCGTCGACTGCACAAACTGCGACCTCACCACCATCGCACTAGGCCATAAACTCGGATTACCCATCTATGTCTGCCCAGCAGCCATGGCCCGCCTCGCGCATCCAGTGGGAGAAGCAGGGATTGCCGCTGCCTGCTCCAAATTCGGCGCCATGCAACTAATCTCTAACAATGCTTCCATGACCCCGGAGGAAATCGTACAAAACGCAACGCCAGACCAAGTTTTCGGCTGGCAAATATATGTCCAAACCCAGCGCAAGAAGAGCGAAGCAATGCTCGCCCGCATCAATAAGCTCAAATCCATAAAATTCGTCTGTCTGACCCTCGACGCCCCCGTTCCGGCCAAACGCGAACATGACGAACGCACCCGCGCAGTCGCGCAGGCGACCTCCGTGTTCAACCTCCTTAGGGAGTCCGGAGGCACACCAATCGAGGGCGGCGCAGGTATCGGCCAGCAGTTGTTCGCCGGTACGGACCCGTCGCTCACCTGGTCCACGACTCTTCCCTGGCTAGCGCAGCATACGAATTTACCTATCGTGCTAAAGGGCATACAGACGCATGAGGATGCATATATCGCATCGTTGCATGCGCCGCAGGTCAAGGCGATTATCTTGTCGAACCACGGGGGGCGGTCGATGGACACGGCGCCGCCAGCAGTGCATACGCTGTTGGAGATTCGGAAGTTCTGCCCAGAAGTGTTCGACAGGTTGGAGGTGTGGGTTGATGGGGGGATTAAGCGGGGAACGGATGTGGTAAAGGCGTTGTGTCTAGGAGCACGATGTGTAGGGATTGGTAGAGCGCCATTATTTGGGCTTGGGGCTGGTGGGGTCGAAGGTGTTGAGCGGGTGTTGGAGAGTACGCTTGTCCCCTGTGTTCTTTTTCTCTTTTCCTTCGTACTGGAACTGGTATTCCCGCTTGTGGGAAAGATTGCAGAGTATACATCATACTAACAGAGGTCCTTTCCTCATTAGTTCTCTCCACAGAAACCAAGACAGCTATGCGTCTTCTGGGCGTCGACAAGGTCGAGGACCTAGGCATGCAACACGTAAGTTATTCATCCACAATCACTATAGAAAATATATATCTTATTTCCCCATTTATCCCTACCTATAAAAAAATCTAACACGTTCAAAATAATACAGATCAATGCGCGCGCAGTGGAACAGCAGATATATGATGGCCCGGCAGGCCTGCACGCTCTGGACCTCTTGGTGAAACCCAAGCTATAAATCTTGAAACGTTAAACTTCTTGTTTTGGGTATCCATCTTTATAAGTATATGTGTGGCCCTTATAGATAGAATGCAATTTATGTGTCTGTTATGTAGTAGATAAAGCTAGGTTACATTTCGAGTGCACAGGAATGTGAGGAGATATATATCCAAGTTCCAGATCTACGGACTACGGCTTTCCGAACTACATTATTTCACATAATTTATTTCATAGCATGAGCATGATTCCCTAGTGGTTGGTCTACGTCGACTTTTCCATTCCTGAAAGCTCAATTCTCACTACTTGTCACCACTAGTTACCTGCAAGTGCGATCCAATCTCTACATTTCTTATGTAAATTACCTCACTGAGCATTTCCAAAACTAGTATAGAACTCCCGGCATGCATCCTTTGCAAACTTTGCTTTACTTTTGAGGGTGCGGGTATGTTTGTCCGAATCATTGAGCTAGATTTGTTGCTCAATCCAACTAATTATGCACGACCAAGGCTTAAGAGACCTGAATCTTTCACTAATTTGCCCGGGAAGCGAGACAGAGCAGGCAGTAAGTGCCGTTAAATCTCAATTTCCCATGTTCATTATATAAATATCAAGGGTAATAATAAGTCTAAGAACAGGGGCGAACCATGAAGCGACTGAAATGCGACAAAAAAAAAAAAAAAAAAAAAAAAAAAAAAAAAGGAGAAGAAAGAAAGAAAGTGATGGAGGTGGAAGGTTGGTTGATTGTACACTAATCTAGCCGCGCAGCATCTAATGAATAGGTGTGTGGGTCACGTGGCCTCATATAGGGCATCCGGCCAACAGAAAGAGCGAAAATGGACAAACCAAATAATCCAAACTATCAAAATGATGTGGCTTGGACAAAAGTGTAACGGCTGATAAATAAGTGGCCTGAAAGAGGGGGGGGGGGGAATAGAGAATAGAAAAATGTTCAAACCATCAAAAATAATGTGGCCTAACAAACAGAACCAGAAAGGGAAAATAGATATTTAAAAACAGAAAAGATAAATATGAAAAAAATCATATGAAAATGTTCAACCATCAAAGTGATGTGGCTCAAACCTATTGCGAGAAAAAAAGCAAGCAAAAAGGGGAATAAAGGAAAAGGAAAATGAAGAGGATGAAAAGAGAAGAAAAGATGGTTACGTGAAGGATAGAAAAGAAAAACACAAACAACAAGATGAAAGAAAAAAGAACCAAAAAAATCCCCTAAGGAAAAAAAAATGTACATATTCGTATACGACGAGAGGTACGTATTTGTTGGGTATATTTAGCAGATACAGTCAAAAGACAAAAGCACATGCGGGTTCTTCAAAATCACCTCCATGGGTTGGATGGACTATGAAAGGGAAGTGCCTAACTTTTGAATGGGCAATACCTTTCTCGTACAGCAGCACGATATGTTTAGCATGTGGTTCGTATATTCACCAGAGTGACGGGCCTCGAAGCCATATCAGCGCTTATATATACGACATCAAGGTTTTCCAACATATCTCACCATGGGAATAATGGATAGGCAAGCAGATTCAGGGCGGCTTTACCCTTATTCTGCAAAGTTCGTGTTCCTAGATAGAAACTGGTTAGAAGGGTGCCCGGGTTAGACTGTCCCTTCAACGCCACAAATGTGTGCTGTATATTGCTCTCTTTCAGCGCTTTCTGTATTGGCCTCGACGGCGGTCCAGATTTATTTTTTTATAAAATGCAGGTGAGTATTGCTGGGAACCACGTATTTTAAGATGGAAGTGACGTCACAGAAGCAATAAGAGCTGCTCTTTTCTGCGCAATTCTAAGGCTGCGACGAACAGGTTTGGCGCTCGTAGAGGAGATCTGTGCGCCAGAAGAAGGAAAGTTCTTCTTTCTTCCATTTCGAATCGGAGCGCCTCGGCTTGAGATCTCGTCAGTTTCCGCATTCCCTTCTTTGTTTGCTGACGCTGTAGCTGTTTTTGATTTTTGTCTGGGCAGCCTTGACGAAACTGCCTCGGAGGCATGAAGTTCGCCAGTAGCCGTATTCCTTGATACCGTTGTATCTGCAGTCTCAGATTTGTCATAAGCAGAGCGAGCCCCAGTTGTATTGGTGCGCTTTTGCCGTTTGGACACGCGCTTTCCCTGTGAACTGTCTTTAGTGGAAACCTTGTCATCTTTTTTAACATCCCGTTCTTCCTTTGCTGCTACGGTAGCCGCTTTTCGCTTTTGCCTAGTCATCCTTGATGAGGCGGTATTAGAAACATGCCACTCTTCAGCGGCTGCATTTGATGGTACTGCTGTATCTGTAGTTTCAGATATCTTGTAAGCAGAGAGAGTCCTATTTTGCCTATCGCGCTTTTGCCGCTTAGATGATCGCCTTTCCTGTGAGGTGCCCTGAGCGGAAATCTGGTCATCTTCTTCAGCATCACTCTCTTCCTCTACTGCTACCATAGCAGCTTTTCGCTTTTGCCTTGTCATCCTTGATGCAGGAAGATTAGGGTTCTGCGACCCTTCGATGTCCACTTCTGTTGCTGCAGCTTCAGCTGCAGCTCCTGACTCGGATATTTTGAAATCGGGAAGGGCGGACTCTAGGCTATTGCGTCTTGGCCGCTTTGATGGGTGTTCTTCGCTAGCTATGTCATGGCTGTGCTTACGCGCTTTGCTCGCTTGAGAGTTGGTGGCTATGGGTGTCTGGCGATTCAACGCCGCAAGGCTCCCCGTATTATTATTATCCTGGTCATTGTAGCCTTCTCCCGCGCTGGTATGATCGGTTTGATTGAGGCTCGATTTGGCGCTGATAGATTCGTAATTTAATGCGTTCGCCATCGTTTCGGATTGCTTCATCTCACTCTCGATCATAGGGAGCTGCTCCAGTATCCATTTCAGTAGTATTTTATGACGTTCTGCATGATGTTTGAAAGTTCGAGATTTAGCTGTGGCTACGAGGAAGCGGCCGATGACTTTTTCTCGGCGTGCTACGAATTCGTGAACCTTCTCTGCCTCGGCTAACCTGGATTCTGCTTGTAGCAGCCTCCGTTCATTTTGTTTGAGAGAATGTTGTCTCGAGATTTGTGGGTCAGATTTGGCTTTTTGAGCCAAAAGAAAGGCACATTTTGCGGATTCCACAGCCTCTTGAGACCGAACCAATTCGCTGGTCCTTTGCATTATTGCTTCAAAACCACATACGGATTCCAGTGTCTCGAAAGGTTTCAATACCTGGCTGGCAACGACATCCTTCCACTTGCTATCAAGCCATGCTTGTTGGCCCTCTGTAAGGGCGTACCGATCATACCACCAGTATTCATAGCCAAGATATTCAATCCAAGTTGTCAAACTGTCCTGTTTAGTCGGATCCTCGTCGAGCTGGAAGGTGCGTGTGAACTCATGTCTCACAAGCCGGTCCTTCACTGCTCTGGCGTATATTGGGAAGCGTCCCTCTTCTCCCGCTACTGGCTTTTGGTGGCCGATAAAACTTTTCCACTCCCTCAGTTCCGAGAAGTCATGTCCTGAATATATATATATTGCCCGCTCATCTTCAATATTTCGTTCCCTCATAAATCTCTGGAACTTGCGGAAGGTTTTCCACCTGTGGCATTGGATCGAAAATAGATGCTCTTCCCGCGCACTGTTTCCGGGGACCCAAAACAATAGGAGATCGCGGTCTTCTCCTGGGTTTTCGAAAAGTTCCGCGGTATTATCTCGAAAAGGGTGTGACGGTCGCCCACCGGATTCAACAAGCGCTTTGTATGCCTTAGTTTCTTCTTGTAGGGTGTGACGTCTTTGTGCCTCTAGGTCGGGGGATGGCGTAGTTCCACAGATAGACTCTGCCGTCCAGCGAATCTCTTCTATTGAATCCTCGTATCTGGGCATTCGTTTTGGAGGAGCTGGTTGTTGGTCTTGTGGCACTTTACCAGTGGCGTCTTGCAGAAGGCGTGCGCTGACTTGATCCAGGTCAACTGGAAGAGACTTGACAGCTCTGCTTTCGTTATTCACTCGGTCCCTACGACGATTAGGCACCAGAAGCAAGAGGTTTTAGCGCGAAGATTGAGATAGATTACTTCAATCTCTGAATAAAAGATTCCGGTATATTCTCAGGGTCTTCAACAGAAATTGTCCTATATTTGAGGTCAGCCAGGTAATCCGACCTGTTTTTTTAGGGGAAAAAAAATAAAATCCAAACGCCAACCTTCCGTTCTCCTCTAGGTACCGGTCTAGTTCCGCGTCGTCAAAGGCAGCGACATCACAAGCTCGTAGTTTGGATCTAGGAGATGGCATGGTAGTTGGATTTCGTGACACAAGTCCAAGAGACTGAGCACACATCAATACATATCATTCGGTGCGGATGGGAACGAGAGGTCAGGAGCTGGCGGAAAGATGGCTTTGTTTTTGTTCAGCTCGTTAGGCCACGGAGTCGGTATTTATTATGGATTTATTTCCCAGTTGGTTCCTCTGCTTAGTCATCTCATTGAGCCCCTTGTTGCGATGTCTCCTGCATTGATGCCCGGCGGCGGTCATGGATTTCGTCGAATGAATGCGTTGCTTGAGCGACAGAGTCTCGGGAGATGCATGGCGCAGAGACGCACGACATGTAAGACCCAATAATCAACACCAGCCGCCTTCCCGGATGTTATGTACAGTCCTTTGTTCATGGCCTATGCAGCCTTGCTGGGGCTCTTTCTGCACTCAGTCATGAAACTAATAAAGACTCTCGAACCCCGCATGATTCTGGGTTATGCCTTTGCAGTTTGTCGAACAAAGCAGCTTTGATAATGGAACACCCGGACCTGGTCGCTGTGTTGTACCCATATCAGCAATCTTCTGATGCCATCGCGGCTATTACCGCCCCTGAGAACGCATCGCTGCACATTCCTGCCATGCACCAGGCGGAACAACCGTCACTAAGTCTCCGGAGCAGAGACGCCACGCCGGAGCCAGAAGAGAACAATTATGAATCTTTTAGCTACCGTAATAAGGATGCGTTGCGGTTGACGTTTAGCCATCGACCAAAACAAGGTAACCACGGGTTTTGCCTCGGAAGAGAAGAGATAGGAGCACATGCGATATTTTCCTACCAAACCTACAAACGGACTACCACATCAGCGCGCGGCATTTCTTTTTGACATTTGACAACCGGAATCGACTAATCCTATATGACCGATCCAGCAACGGGACCACCGTGTTCTATGACGGGAAAGGAGGAGAGAAACGCCGCAACTTTACCTGGATCCTTGGTGACCCGACTGCTAATCAATTCAAGCAAATCGTCGTTCGTCTCCATCCACATCTCCAATTCGTAATCGTCGCTTCCAAGGCCTGAACGGGTCATCATCCGGCCCAATATATCTCAAAGGTTGAACAGTTTCGCAACGAGTTGACGGCGTCGACTGAACTGTTTTTCGGCGGCTTGGGGTTACAAAGTCGAACTCCGACGGCGCCTGTGAGTGGGGCACAAACTCCACCCCAAGACCTTATTCTCATCAAAAGAGGGTTCCTCGGCGCCGGCGGCTTCGGAACTGTAACTCATCGCTGGGACGTGAGCACAGGACTTGAATATGCATGTAAAAAGCCTCATGGTCCACTCGATCCACTAGTTCAGGAGTATTGGAAGAAGGAGATCAAAATTATGGGCCAAATTAAGCATGTAAGCGCCTAAATGCTGCCTACGAGCAACGTCAGTTTTTAACGCTGTATTAGGAGAATATTGTGAAGTTTCATCCGGAGATCAAGGTCGGCTTCCGTGTTTGTTTCTGGACTATCTTCCACTCGGGAACCTTGGACAACAGCATCGGAAGCAGCCTTTTTCGTACAAGGAGACGTTGATAATCCTCCGCCAATGACTATCAGCTTTGAAATATCTCCACGAACAAAATCCTCCAATCGCGCATCGCGATCTAAAGTTGGAAAATGTCCTTGTCCGCGAACGCTGCCCACTTCATGCCCAGCTTGCGGACTTCGGTTTAGTAAAGGAGGGTTCCCTGAGGACTGGTAAAATCGGTACAGAAACCTATTTTCCCCCCGAATACTTCAAGATTTTTAAGAGGGGAAAATATAGTGTGAAAATTGATATTTGGTCACTTGGTCTGGTTGCCCTCGATCTCAGGCACAGCCTGCCGGAAGCGGATGTCCGAGGAATACCTTGGTGTGAAAAAAATCATTGATCGAGCCAACCAATACAAAAATGAAGGTCTAATGGAGTTCTTAACAATCCATATGTTGGTCCTGAAACCAGAAGATCGATCTTCAGCAGACGTCTGTTTGAAAGCCGTCGAACATCTTAGTGCTCCCTCTCGAGACGGTAGTGTCACCCCTACTCAAGCTTCGCTCGCCGGAAAAGCCCCATTAACATCAGAAAATGTAAGTATCACTAGGTACTAACTTAGAAGCAATCAAGCAATCAAGAGCTAAAGGGTTTTATTTTTTTCTTCCATAGGCTGTATCAGACTTGTCTCCCAGTGAGCTGAACGCATACATTGCGGCCAACGCTCCTCTTGAAGAATCGCGAAAGAGACCAGCCCAGGAACGGTCATCATCAGGTACCCCCAGGCAGACCAAGCGTCTTGCTCGGACAGACGGTTCCGACAGTCCCGGCCGGCATACGCAATATAATTCTGTATTCCCGCCTTTTCCTCCCGGCTGGCAGCAGGATTCGAAGTACGTTGGATCTGACGTTGCTGCGATGGTACGGGGAGATCCGTCCGGCTAGAACAGTGACAGCGATGCCCCCTCGACGATCACGAATGCTGCCGGGAACCGAAGCATTCCGTCAAATGTGGATGATCACCTCGATGATCCTGTGCGGGCTAGTGAACGAGCACTCTCAAATAGCGAAGAGGAACTCCTGCGCCTGGTGCAAGCGGATTTCCAATGAAAGTACCCGAAGTTTTGGATTTTTGGATTTTGACTTTTGCCCCTGTTGTATTTCATTTTGTTGAAGGAGGACTAATATTTCCACTAAGTCTTACTACTCTTTTGAATGTCCCGACGGGAAGGAAGGGATCTGGATATCTTTTTGGGATCTCGAGAATGAGCATCTAGTTAACATATTCTTTTTCGGTTTAATTATTTAATTGCGCCACACCTTGATTGCGGACAGACATGCGCCAAGGCTAATTGAACTCTCAACGGCGGGCAGGCTCAGCCCATATGAAGAGCGAATTCTGGCAGACTTAGATGACTCCCTAGGGAATTTTTCATTTACCATAGCTGGTATTTATTCCAGAGTCGGAATGGTAAATAATTGAACGTTATGAATATAAACACATCATAATGTAGGTGATCAATATTGCCGCAGCTATAGTAACGAACTTTTACGTTGGAAAACTATCAATGAATTTAAATTTTATAAAATGCCCAAATAGACCCAATTTTACATTGAAATTTGTTCTCTTGTCTTGCCGCTTGCTGGCTCGTGGGCGACGCGCTCCACTGCACTCCCAAAGGGGAAATGCCCCCGCCAACCCCCTCAGGCGCGGCTCCGTCCACAGCATAGCTTTCCATCCAACATTCTTCCTCCCTCCAACAATCCTCAACAACTCTCAATGATTACAGTGTGTATTTGGGCACTTCTAAATGTATCCTGCTGCATCTAATCTTACACTTTGATAATTTTGACGCGTTGCTACTCTCATCGCCAAAAACTAGTTCTCTCGCCATCCATCCCCGATTGCCTTCCTCTCCTCTCCACCAGTCTTCTCCTCCTATCGCTCTCCGTTAGATACAGCTTCCTTGCCAACTATATTACCTTATACACTCAACTACTACGAGACTCAATCTACCTTTTTGCCTCTCACTACTCGATTCCAAACGACGTCCTCCACGACATTCCAACTATCTGCGGCCTTGCTTCCCCTGTGGAAGCGGAGGATTTATCCCCCTCGCTTTCTGCGCAAGGACTCTAGGGTCATATTAACGCCCTCTACGAGACTCTGTCTCTTTATCGCCACTCCTCTTCCTCACCGGTTATCCACCATGGCTGCGGCCACACCATCGCCCGCTGCGAATGATAGGAAAAGCTCCAGTACCCCCGCGTCCCCCGTGGAGTCAACTACCTCACAACCGACAGGTGCCAAACGGAAACGAACAGCAGAGCCCAAGTTCTATGCGGTGAAGTTTGGATTTCAGCCTGGCGTTTACCATACGTGGAATGACTGTTTAACGCAGGTGACAGGTTTTAAGGGTGCTGTTTGTAGGTTTCCATTCTTCTATCACGAACGCCCTCACTTATCGTATAAAACAGGCGCCCAGGAAAGAAAAGTGAAAATCTTGTCTATAATTCTGCTATCATGTTATTCACTCTACAGCGGCGCTCGTTAGCTTACCATTTCCCTCCTTTTAGTCCAATCGTTTCCTACCCTCGATGAAGCGAATGCCTTCCTAACAGGAACCCAAACCGCTACGGCGCCTGGAAGCACCTCTACCGGCTCAAAATTTTACGGTGTACAACGGGGGCGAAAACCGGGTGTATATACTGACTGGGCAGTGACACAGGATCAGGTGCGAGGATTTCGGGGACCGAAATATCGCAAGTTCGCTACTTGGGCTGAGGCAGACGCTTTCGTTCGACAAGGCCAACAGACGCCGGTAGTGATGCCATTGGCGGGGGATGCAGAGCTAAGCGCAGATCCTTCCTGGAAGATGAACCTACCTGGTGCTCCTGGCCTTACCTCGGAACGTCCGACCGACGCAGATGGCAACGAGTACCCACCTGGGCTGGGACCCTTGCCCCCGGGTGCAGTTGACGGATTTGACCCAAACATTGTTCTTGATCCTACAACTGGAAAATTGAAATATAGATCTCCACATGAAAAGGTACCGACGAAGCAGCAACCAGGCCGTCCCGGCCCTTTGAAAATATATACAGACGGAAGTTCTTTGAGGAACGGCGCTATGGGGGCCAAGGCGGGTATTGGAGTATATTTCGGTCCTGGGGACGAGAGGTATTTTAGTCCCTACCTTTACTTTATTTTTCAACTGTCGTAAAAGCACGTTATTTGATGAGCCACCTCCCCTTTGCTAACATCTCATCCTCCCCTCCCTTGCCAGCAGAAACGTGTCCGAGCCACTGAAAGGTAGCCGACAAACAAACCAACGGGCAGAATTGACAGCAATCATACGCGCACTTGACATCGCGCCACGACATCGCGATGTAACCATTTTCACGGACAGCAAGTATGCCATCAACTGCGTAACGGTATGGTTTGTAAACTGGCAGCGCAACAAATGGATGACGGCGCAGGACAAACCGGTCGAGAACAAGGACCTAATCCAATCCATCCTGATGAAAATCGAAGAGCGGACGGTGATGAATGTCAAGACGTTGTTTGAGTGGGTTCGGGGGCATAGTCGCGATCCAGGCAATGAGGCAGCCGACCGGCTGGCAGTGAATGGAGCAAAGAATGCCCCGCTGGCATCGAATAACATGACGACTCCCGAACCTGGAGATGACGATGGCGGGATAAGCGGTGGTGATGATTATGATGATGCCATCGATGAGGGCGAGCAGCGGACTGGGTTTGGGATCGGGGAATGCTGAAGCGACATTACTAGAAGATGAATGTCAAGGCACTTCTGTAGCCGGTTGTGTACTCCTTATTTTTCATTTCTCTCCTTCTCTGTTCCTTTAATGTTGTGTGTCGTTGTATGGGACTTTTATCTACTTTTCATATTACCCTGTCTAGTTGTGTCCAGGGAGTTTCGTTTCTTCCTCCAAAGAAGGAATATTGTATATTTCCCTTGGCACGACTTCTTTGCACTTGGTTTCTCCTTTTACCATTTTATAGTCTCCGATTCTCCATTCATATTCTGCGACCGAACAATCAATATGTTTCATGTATTTACTTCCCTTGCTATTGCTGTTATAGCTAGCTACACATCCATCTAAAGTGTGTAGCTAATTAGCGATGACATGATCTATCTCATTAACGGTAGTTATGGAGAGTATTCCTGTAAACCAATATTTCACATGTAGCAATGATGCTGCTCTTTTTTTTCTTTTTTTTTGCTACTCCCCTCAGCGAGCGGATTAAGATTCATATAAAATGTCATCTGTCATCTGGTCAACTGACTAACTGCAATCACCACCAGTTTACACTGGAGGAAGAGGGGCTGGAATACACAAAGGAGAGCTAGCCTTGGTTAACACTAACCTCCAGTTAACCGACCCTTCCAGTTCCAAGAAACTCCATCTTTTCGACCGAACAAAATTATCATGAGACATTTCCCACGACTGGTGAAGCAGCTGAGGTATGGCGTCATGAGTGAGGGGGTGCATGCATAGGTATCAACGCTAAAACCTCCTCATCCCTCCAGTAGTGAACAGTCACACTCTTTGCTGACACCTCCACCGGGGGGTTTCCGCTATTCTCCACCGACCAGTTCTACATAGTAAACAAATCTTTGAACTAAGAAGCACAGCTGCGATGTTAGTGATCGATCTAATGGTGATGAGCAGGGGGGGTATTTCTAAATTGGCCCACCTACTAGAAAATCGCTCACTGCCTGCGAAATCTTCCCAATTCAAACGTTAATAGCTAAATAAACGGAGTCCGCGTCTTTGCTCTTAGGTTCCCTATAAATGACACTGATGGGAACGAGAAATCCGACGTACTCCTCTCCATCTTCTTCTTCCATTTTCTTCTTCTTCTTTTTTCTGTCGTCATTTTCTACAGAACGCGTTTCCTTTCGGGTGGCTACTTGTTGTGACTACATTTTTATCCTGGTTCAATTTTTCACCGACTCTGTTACAATATTTATTTCTTCCCTTCATCCAGCCTTGCTTGACTATTAAGTTACGTTATTTGACTACGTTACTAGGCTAGGTAGCGTCTAAAGACGTCAATAGCTCTGAACGAAGGCGCAAGACTCTTTCACATCTATACCGGCGATTGATATCCGTTTTTTCTCACAATTTGTTTTTTATTTTTATTTTTTATCCCTAGCTCCTTTAAACGACACGCCATATATAGAGAAATACCCTAAAGTCTTACGAACGACGTCTTGATAGAAATCCGAAAACAGCCATTCCTAGACTTTCTCAGCTCTATCTTTATTTTCTAGTATTACACCTACTAGGGGTGAAGAAGGAATATCCACCAATTCCAATGACAAGAAGATCCCTCCTTGTTATCCTGGGCCTGATGATGATTGTCCCGCCGAAATAACACAAACTACAACCTACTCCGTTGTCTGTCACTTTCAATCGTTCTAGTGTATAAATAGCTCTTACCTCTCATCTACTACTATAAAGGGTACTACTACCTTTCCGACCACCGGAGGTCCTTTTTTAGGGTCCTGGTTGCTAGTCTCGGTCCCGCCAAAAAAGTTTCTCCCCATTGTCCGCCCTAGCCACCGGCCCAGATTCCGCCAAGACAAATATTCACACGGAACCCGAAAACAACCTCCGCTGTCCGCCCTTTTGATTGGCCGAACCTCTCCTCGTTCCCCACAAGCCGAACGAACTCAATCGGCGCTGTGCTGTGTTCGGCATGCCGACTCTTGCTTTGACCGACTTCAATATCGTATGTGGAACGCTGGGCGGCTTCATCAGCCTATTCGGGCTGGTGTCGTATCTTTTTAAGGAGAAATTCTATTTGTCGGAAGCTTGTGAGTTTCCAACTGTTTACTACATAACTAGTTATATGTTTTCTTTTTAATTTATTCCTCATTTTTCGTTTTTGAGATTTTAAGACGCTTTGATTATCTAGGGTAATAATAGCTCCCGCCGTGCCTTACATCGTATTCACGTACGAACTGGTCATCCGCGCAGACCCATCTTACTAACTCTCACACATACCAACCCATGAAAACAACTGATTAGCTAATTAATTGAATAAACCCTCCAGTAATTTCGCTGACCGCTGGCATTCTCTTTTCCCCTAACTTCGCCAATTTCCTCCGCCCGCTTGACTATGCCCAAGGCTCCCCCGCTGCCGTGGAGACTATAACACTCTACTTCTCCCGCCTCGTTCTAGGCGTCCAACTCGTTCTCGCAGGCGTACAACTACCCAGCCGTTACCTATTCAAAGAATGGAAGAGTCTCTCACTCCTGCTCGGCCCCGGCATGCTGGCCATGTGGCTCTGCAGTAGCCTAGTGATCTTCATGTTGGTACCCAACTTACCGTTCCTACATGCCCTGGCGATTGCGGCCTGTATTACACCCACGGACCCAGTACTGTCGAATTCTATTGTCAAGGGGAAGTTTGCGGACAGGAATGTGCCGCGTGGCTTACAGAGGATCATTATTGCGGAATCCGGGGCGAATGACGGGCTTGGGTATCCGTTTTTGTTTTTTGCGATTTACCTGATTCAGTTTGTTGGGGTAGGTGAAGGCGAGGGCACAGGACAATTTGAAGGGGGCGCCTGGAGTGCAATTGCGCTCTGGTTTGGAGAAACGTGGGGGTATACTATTCTGCTGAGTGTTGTGTACGGGGCGGTAGTGGGATGGTTGGCAAAAGAGCTATTGCATTGGGCGGAGGAGAAGAAGTTTATTGATCGAGAGAGCTTTTTGGTATTTGCGATTGCTTTGGCTGTCGGTTTGCCCTTATTTTCTCTTTCTCTTTTATCTTTTCTTTCCCCATTCTTGTATACCCCTGGATCGGGCTTCTTCCTTAATTTCAACCTCTCCTTTGTTATACTGGCAGGTCTTGCTAATGAAACTACCTAGCTTTTCATCATCGGGACATGCGGAATGATAGGCAGTGATGACGTTCTCGCCTGCTTTATTGCCGGCAACGTATTCACCATTGAGTCAGCGGCCATCCCCTGAGAGGTGATAATACAATAGGATCCCTTCTTGCTAACCTACCCACCTAGCGACTGGTTCCGCCTAGAAACGCTCGACGATTCCCTCCAACCCACCATCGACATGCTTCTCAACCTCTTTGTCTTCATGTGGTTCGGCGCTGTGTGCCCCTGGGGGAAATTCTTACAAAACGACGTCATCTCTATACATCGACTCATCTTCCTCGGTATCCTCATCTTACTCTTTCGTCGCATTCCCATAATCTTCGCAATGCACAGATACATCCGGCAGATAGAACACTTTCGGCAAGCCGCGTTCGTGGGTTTTTTCGGACCCATTGGTGTCAGTGGCATTTTCTATTTGTATATCAGCCGTGAGTATCTCAGTCGTTGGATTGTGCCTGATGGTAGTGGGAGGGTGAGAGAGGATGCAATTGCGCTGTCGGAAGAGATTGAAGTAATTGTGTGGTTTTTAGTGGTTTGTAGTATTGTATGTTGCTCACCATGGATCTATCCAATCTCAGATCTACGCACCCTATGGTTTTATGCAAGCTAATAGCTATCTTCTCAGATGGTGCACGGCCTGTCAATACCTCTCGCGAAACTCTGCATTCACCTACACCGCACCCTCTCCAGAGCTCTAAGCTACAGCTCAAACGTCGACAGCGATAACAACTACTCTTCCCGCCTATCGCGCATGTTTCTGCCATCATTAACCAGGCCTACTTCCATGCACAGCTCGAACCGCCACGAACCGCCTAGACCAGCTGTTTATTTGGGAACAGGACGGTCTATTATTCCCCAGGGGGACGCGGAGGAGGCAGAGGAAACAGAGAGCTTATTGGGCATCAAGGCGACGGCAGAGACGGGGAATGATACCACGATGGAACCAGCGGGGCGGGCGCAGGTGGAAGAAAATGGACGAGACACAACGGAAGACTGGCCGCACACTAAACCGGTATTAACGTCTCATCCTGTATCCACGCCTAGCTGTATCGTTAATGACAGCAACACCGGCGATAAATCCGGTAGTAGTCTGGGAGAAAGCAGAAGCGGTGGTAACAGCTACTCGAAGCGGGACATTGGCAATGGGAGTCGCATGCAGAGTTATGGGGCCACTTGTCCTGGCTGAAGCCCAGGAGTGGGCAAGGGGCCGGAGTTGAAAACTTGAACCTGGGCTAGCATGTTCGTTTTGCGGAAAGTAGGTTCAAAACTCTCAAGTCATGTGGATTCAAATTAAATCTGGTCAGCACGGGGGGGGGGCCTTGTCAGAGCTTTCAGGAGAAAGGTGTTCTTGCTTCTATATTTACCCTATACCATTCATTCTTGGATTTGTGAAGGCCCGGGCTTCTTCATTCATCCGGGAAGTCCAATCCAGATTGTCTTGGCCTCTACTTTAACTGAGAATGGCAGCATACAGTTCGGTCCCTTTTATTTTCGCTTTACTAGACCTTTATTGTGCCTATACCTATGAGACGACCAGATACAAAAGGTGCATAATAATGACTTAAAGAACGGAGTTAATGGAGAATTATTAGCAATACCGTACTTGATGCGAATATAGTAATGTACAATATGTAGGATATGAAACTCCAGAACAAGGAGACCACTAAGTAGTGTTTCAAGGAGGAATATCCAAGATACCTATTTAAACTCTCGTCAATGTGGCCGTATACACAACCAATGCTTAACCCTCTAGGGGGTCAAACTAAATTAAATAAATACACTACAGAATAAGAATGTACTTAATGACTAATTGGATCCATTGATAGCCTGCCAAGTTCTCGTAAATAATGAATCAAAAAAAGGGAATCCCATGGCCTTACACATGTCTAGCTGCTGGTAAAATGTAAAGATACATCTCTTTAGTATTCTGAGGGAGGAATCATGCCGTACTACTGTGTCATAATATATGAGTCAGTGTGTGAATTGGCTTGATATAGACCCTGGAACATCATTTAACCTCCGTGCACATGGCTTTCAGAGCCTGTTGTTGAACAGAGACAGACTAATGTCTGTTCTAGTTGGTTTAATCTGATTGAACAACCTTTGCATCTCAGAGCAACGGATGGTCTAGTATGAGAGACAAGACCAGTGACTTGACATATATCCTCATCAAATCATTCTACATTGTCATGCGTGTATATAGACTGTCAAGCATGGCTCTGTCATCTAAGAATAGGGTTTACCATCATGAAGCGGAGGGAGGGAGGTCAGTACTTTCTATTTTGTTTTCAGTAATCAATGATGATTATGGATAGCCGAAATATATTCTTGATAGACAAGCGAAAGGAAACATATTATTAAAACCCGCTCAATGCGTAGTAGGAAATTTGTAGCATATTCACCTAGAGTCCATAAGAACCCAATCACGTCTGTGCTCCAGGCCAACGCTACATAGGATATTAGGGACACATATATATCATCACAAACTAGAAAGCAAAAATTATAAGCCCCGAATTTAGACATGAAATAAACAAACTAGCGTGATCGACGAGACACATCCTCTTCACCTGGTGTAGACCTGGATGTATGCCTCTGCGACCGCCTTGTTGACTGGTGCTGCACATTTGCCTGCTGGACCTGGCACCCTTCAAAATCATTTTGTGATCTATATTCATACTGATGCATGCTTCCCGGTGGGGCGGGGGGGTAGTGTCGCGAAGGCTCAGTCATGGCGTTGCTTGAGGTTTGCGAGTATCCTGCTGATTGTTTGCGAGTATCCTGCTGATTGTTGTTGCCCAGTCGTCTGCTGATACCATTCGAAATCATCCTGTGGTCCAAATCCATAGTGATGAATGCTTGCGGGGACATAAGGTGGAGAAGGGCTAGTCGTGGCGTTGTTCAAGAAGGGTTGCAATGGCCTCGTCGGATAATACGGCTCGTTTGCCTGCTGGTACGCTTCCGGATTATTTTGCGACCCATATTCATTCTGAAGGATGCTCTGGGGGAGACTAGGGTGGGGAGGTATATCCCAGTCAGATGGATCTTGTCGGCCCAATTGGGCGGGGGAAGATACAACACAAGCTGGATCCTGCACTCGGAGCTGTTCTTCGTACGGACGAGCATGAAGGGTTGCTGGGTGACGTTTGTGGGGCGTTATAGTGCTTGTCGGTGATGTCAACGACGATCTCAGCACCCGAGAATGCTTTTTACGTATCGGAGATGCAGGCTATCAAGTGTGATTTTTGTTCCTTTTTCAGTTCCTGATCCGCTAGGTATTTTAGGGAAACCGTAAAGAACCACTTACGCTATGTGGTGTTGTAAGCTGCTTCCCGACATCACGGAAAATTGCTGTTGTTTTGCTTCCAGCGGCATAAGAAGTGGCGGTCGGGGTTTGGTGACCAGTTCGGGAGGGAGCAAGTAGCTGTTTTGCTTCATCAAGACATCGACTTGCTGAATACCGTTTCGCTGGATCCTTGACTATCATGGCGGTAGACAAGAATTCAGCTATCGCATCTGGCGATGAGTTGACTTTGTCGATGATTTTATTACCCCAGTCGGGGTCTCGGGCTCCGCCAGAAGGAAGGCCGTGAGTCAATTCTAGAATGACAACCCCAAGCGACCAAATATCAACTGCGTGTGTATACAGTTCTCGGTATTTCCAATAGCGTGAGCGTTCAGCGATCTCAGGGGGGAAGTAACGCTGTGTGCCACATTTTGTCCGCAGGGAACCCTCTTTTGCAAGGCCAAAATCTGCAAGTTTGATGTGAAGAGGGTCACGATGCAAAACAAGAATATTTTGTGGTTTTTATCTCGATGCGCAATGGGCGGGCTCAGTCCATGTAAATATTCCAGAGCCGATAGGCTTTAGTAGAGGACCATTAGGACCTCATCGTCTGTGATATCTCCAATCTGATTGAGGTTCCCAAATTTCATATATTCTAGATATAATTGTGGAACAGGTTCTTTTACCCAATGGAGGAGCCGAACAATGTGATCCTTAATGAAGTTTTAGTCGGAGAATATTCTTGAATATCCATCTTATCTACCTACATGTGAAACGCTTTTCAGCAGGTCAATTTCGTTCCCCCATTCCTCTATAAGCTGATCGTGTTCGCTTTGGGCCATGTGCTTCGTTTGGGCCGCTAAGGGCGTCTTTTGTGCATAGGTAACGCCGCAACTCACATCCCAGAGACAAGTGACAACACCAAAGGCGCCCCTGCCGAGTTCTGATAACGCCAGGAGGAGAGGCTCTTGCCGGGGGGAATGCGACTGGGTGTAGTGGGCAGTTATGAGTCTGCTCTCTAGATTTAGACTATCGAGGGCTGATTCCTCCAACTTTTCCAAATCGCTGCGAAATTGGCGGATCTTGGCTGTGTATTCCTCTTCATTTGTACGCTTGGCACATACAATTCGAAATGAGAGATCTTTACCCAGCTGGATAACAATGTCGTGCATTTCTTCGTCGGGGACGGGATGCCCAGCAACGATCCAAGAGAATTTCTTGCGGTTCTCTGCACCTTTCCCATTGTAGCTAACAATTGTTCCGTTGGTGGACGTATCATGAAGAATAAGTTGGTCATACTCGTTGAATGTCAAAAAACAATGGGATCCACTGACGTCTGGCGATGTTTGTGAGTCTAGAACAATGTCGCATGTATGCGATTCTCTCCCCAGAACAAATCCTTGATAGTTTTTCGGTCCTTTACTGAATGTCAACTTAAGCATTTCACTGCCAACAAAATCTGGAAAGAAGTCTGTGCTGCTCTCTTCTCGTGGAGGCGTTCTGTCTCTAGGTTGCCGTCGCTCCGGCTTACGCTTGGTAGCTTTTGGTTGCTCAAGGCACCTTGAACGATTCTCGTGAGAAAATCAACCTAAATAGACTGCTTTCTTCACACACAACACAATAGTGACTATATTTGGAAAAATGAAGTATTTTGATTATAAAATTCTTATCTTCAATATAAATGTGTGTTGAGTCCTGAGTCTGTCCTCTCTAACATTTTTTCTAACCATATTCAGCTAGTTGGATCGGGCCCTGGCTTGGCGGGGCGGGCCCTCCGCTTCCTAGTACGGACTAGCGCCCGGCACACTACTACCCACCACCGCCGATCATACATACCTAGCTGTCATACGTCATACGCTGTACAGAGTACATACCATACATCATGTTGTACTCCGTATGGTTGTACCGAGGTACAGGTACCTACTGCGTACAGCGTTATAGGCTATTAGCCTAGGTAGCGATCTGGTGGGCAGTAATAATAGTACAGTTACGGAGTTACTCCGTATAGTTGATACAGATCGATACAGATGTCATGGTTACCTTGTTTCACCATGAGTAAAAGTAACATTGATATAACAACCCTGGTTTCGTGGCTTTGGCCGTTGGTTGTTGTGGAAGTTGGGCTCGCCGCTGACGAGACAGCAGAGCAGCCCTGGCCCAAGTCGCGCTTTGCTTCTCGACCTCTATCTCACCAATTCCATCATTTTTTGCCTGGTGGTTTCGTCTCCGCGTCAGCTTCCAGTTCTTGCAATGTCGTCTCCTGAACCGAATCTCCCCAAACTGTTTGCACGCGACATTATTTCCTATACCGATTCGCAGCTTGATCAATATCTCAGAGACAACAAGCAGGTTGGTGCTTTTTTCCTGGCTTGGAGGTCCTCGCTAATGCCAGGTCTTAGGATTGTCAAGGTTGAAGACCCCGAGAATCTCACTGAAGAATTTATTCAATGTCTACGGTAATCGTCGTCTCTTTCTTCTCTATAAATATCCAGCCGTCTCCTATCCTAATATCCATTTTGCTAGGGATTATGCACGTCGCTCAAGCAAAGATAATCAGTCCCAACCAGTCGACCTTGATCAAGTGACGGCCCGACTTTTGCAAAACCTCACCGGTAAAAATGTGCGTCATGTAGCTGGCAGGGATCGCGATGATGACTTCTACGGCTTGGATGGGTATGATCGCGAACCTACTCCAGTGTATGACCCAGACAAAGCATACCAGAGAAGTCTGCGGGAACAAACTGGCGCATACCACGCACTTATCAAGGCTGGAGGTCGACCTTCGCACCCACTTAGCCTTCTTGTGGATATCGTTAAGGATCCAGGAGAGTACAGTGAAATTTTTTCGTTCTGGCAACTTCCCCATCAGCGTGATGACTGGAGAGTATTCGTGGAACAATTATCAAGGTGGAAAGACTTCCTGAGAGTCCAGAAATTTGCCCGTGGGGAAAGCGTTCATGACAACTGGCGGCGATTCTGGGACGGTTCACGAGACAATTTAAATATTTTCGGTGATTTTGGGACAACTGTTGATGAACACGAGGCACACTGGGAGAGTCACTTCGACTACCTAAAAGAATGCTACGAAGACGATGAGGTAATAATAACCGGCAATTGCAATTTAAGATGGGATGCCTATGTTGGCCAAGATACCCCCGGTACGGATGGACGATTCTCCACGTATGCCAATGCGATCAAAAAGCGCCTCACAACACATGGCTTCGCTCCAAAAATTGAACTAGATGAAGACCTAACTCGCCAGGACAAATTAACAACATGGGCTGAGTATTTGGCCTTGGAGTACTGGTGCTATGACGAGCTTACACTTTCGAAGGCGCAACAACAATTCATTGATGACGCGTGGAAAAAGCTCGTTGAGTCTAAGGTATTAAGCCCTACTGATACGCAGGAGTCTTTATGCAGCGCTGAATCAGCATTTGAGAGATGGAATAGGTTGGGACAAGCTGAGAAGGCTGTGGAATCTGCGAAACATGCTGTGATGCGCGCCCAAAAAGCCGCCTCAGTTCAACGATATCCTCATAAAGTTTCAGCAGAGGAACCCACATCAGATCTATTGAAAGCTCAACTACAGCTAAATGCCGCAGAGAAGGAGTACACCTATGTCAAAACACGAAATGATCACATCGTTGAATTCGTTCGGAACACGAGGGATCTTCGGATCAATAAGAGAGACGAAGAACGCCAGAGGAAACTAGTACAATGGATACTGCGGCAGTTCCCCTTGATCCAACGCGAGCTAGAGCAGTCCAAGACAACCGCCGACATCGCAGAGCCCAGCCATCACAATAATATGCACGGCGACAACCGAGGTGACAGAGCTACTGCGAAACAAAACCCCGCGGGGAAACGCAGCGATACTGGCGAAGACACTTCGACATCGGACCAAATCCGGAGAGCCTCAGCCTCCCAAACAGGTAATAAACGCAAGCGCAACCATGACATGACTGAGGAAGCAGCACGTCCCTCGAAGCGCGCAGAGCGTAGTGGTCGGAATCAGCAGCTTTCTGGTTCTGCGCGTATAGATTCAGGGACCGCCAAGAATGTTGATGGCGTGAAGGACATCACACCAAACAAAGCTGGGCACCCGTCTCGTCGAGGTATTTCGGTGTCTAGCCCAAAGATGTCTTCTCTGGACCATAGGAATTCTTCTACTGTACCCAACCCTCCCCTTCGCCGCAGCGCCAGAATTGCGCAAAGAGAGCAGCGTTTAAATGCACCGATTAGCTCATCATCCGATATTGTGAAACCTTATCCAGGAACCCGAAAGTCAGGCCAGGCACCAACAGATCCTAAAAACACGAAAACACGAGTGCTGTCGAAGCGCGGCAACTCGAAGCCTCAACGAACGTCAGGGAAAAAAGGGCAGTATTCTCGTTCTTGAGCGGACCCGAGGAGAAAGGCAATTTTTTCTTCTTTTTTCTTCTTTTGTTTCTTTTTTTCGTGAATTCGCGCTTAGAATTACCATCTGCATCAAAGCTCATGTCCTTACCTACTCTATGTCTTCTGCCAGCCAACTTCTAATGCACTTTCGGGTATGGTATCAACATAGGATTACTAATATTTCTGATTCTACGGAAGATCTTTTTTGGTAAGGCCTGGACTGGCGCAAATTAGTACGCCATCGTGCGGGCTAATGGAGGGAGATAAGGCCCTAAAAATGACCATTAACACTTTCCTTTCTTACACCACAACTTCTCGTCCCTTGTCCTCTCCATCTAGCCGCTCACAGATTGTTTTATTTTCTTACAGCTCGCCATTTCAAAATAAAAGGGGCCCCGGCTGCTTAACGCCCTTTTGAGTCGGACACTCCATTTACATCTCCTCGGGAGATTTATCAGAACATGAAGTTGCTCTGATAGATAACCTTGACGCGTTTTAATCTGGTTGAGTAGTCGGCATCCTTTACCCCCGGGCTACTACTCTCTGACTTCTACATAGGTTAATCTCGAGTTCCGGTCGAACGCTGTTGAGGAGGACTACTTGCGGAATATATACAACAGACAATAAAAGAGATACAATAAAAATCTGCTGGCAGATTTTTAATTAGGGGAATGAGATGATGAATATGCATACGTGTGTACGTTTAAAAATGTTTGTGAACGCCAGAGAACCATCTGGCGGAGTTTATATTTGGGAATATGATTTAGGAGGAGGTAGTGAGTGAGGCAATTTGATGTATTTTCTTCCGTATACGCCGAAAGAGAAGCAGAGTAGAATTGTCAATCTTGGAATGAAATAGGAATTTCCGGCACCAAAAGACATGCTTTGGAAGCATTTGTCTGCTTGGCTTGGTATGGTATCACATCGACAATAATGTTGATGATGTTTAACTGCAAAAGTCAATCAACGTCACAAGATTTTTCCCCCCCAGGGGTTCCCGGGCGCTAATTCTCACTTGATCTTAGAGTTAACAGGGAGGGGAGGAGGGCACTTCAAGTTAGATCAAATACTATATTGAATGGGGTCTAAAGTGCCTACAGAACAGTGAGAATTATTGTTGTCAAGCTTAACTGGCCAGGTCTCATCCATCCCTCTAGACACTCTAGGCACTCACTTCCAGAGAATTGAAATTTAAAAATCATTCAATCGGGACTCTGAGCCTAGCAAGGATCTAGATGAGATGAGACCTAGACACTCTTAATATCTCTGACTGTATACATCTATAATAGAAGAAGAATAATAATAATAATCGTAACGGCCAGTCTAGGAGGCAACAATTAGCATATTTTTCTGCCACTCTAATAATTATTGACTGCTTAGTTATTGGCTGAAAGCCGCGAATACAACTTGCCTATTGGCCATAATTCAGGCGGTAAGGCACAACGCTAGTTAATTGTTGCCTCTCCTCGCTCCTCGCTCCCCCAGACAAGGGGATAAGGAAGCCGTGCGTACGGAGTACAGCATCACATCACCGAATGCGATCAATAATATTAAATTAAATATTAAATGAAGATGCTCAGCCTGCATTCAACCTACGGCCGAACTGGCTGAAATATTATAACTGATTCTCCTTGTCCTGTCAGATGAGATTGTAACTACCCCCCCCACCAATATTCGATATTCGTATATTAAATTGATACTTCTACTCACTTAATACTTATTAATTTGAGTTGAAATTGCAACTGGCTACTGCGTGTTTTCTTATGATATGCTCGCTGTAAGTTATATGATATTCTCATTTACAAGAATCTTATTTTACCGCCATATACCACTTTTAAACTGTCTCGCTATCCGGTCCGGCCGGGAAGCGGTTAAAGACATTCATTCTTATTTTAAGTTAACGGTCGAAAGCCATGCCGGTCACTGGGTACGTCCATACTATACACCACATTATGAAATCCCCCCTGGATCCTCCTGTCAATCAGTGTCCTAACCCCTGCATTGTGCAGCCTATATTTCATCCCCGCGAGCCAAAACTCGCCAACCGCAACAGGGACCGTGATTGAGCGGCTTCGATCCGCATACAATCCAACCCTGTGCGGGCGCTGGGCCCTAGAGCACAAATTGCTACGAGATACACCGTCATGTCTACCACCAAGCGATTATGCTCCTTTACCGCCGCTGCAACCGCGCTTCATGCAGTTTCTTTCCCTTAGTCACCGCCAACCATACGGTTTCATATATATATCTGACCGGCCCAATCCGGACCCGTGGGACTCAAGATCTTTGGGTGCAACGCATGTAGGCCGTGTGCAGCCACAGCCGCAGCCGCAACAGCCGAAACAGCAGCAACAGCAACAACAACAGCAGCAGCAACAGCAGCAACAGCAGCAACAGCAGCAGCAACAACAGCAGCAACAACAAGAAAACCCTCCCCTGCACACACCCGACCCACCCTCCGCAGCCGGCAAAACGATGATGATCCTCGATTATCCCTCCTACATATCCTTCCACGCCATAACCCTTCGCGCCTGTGAACCCCTCTGGTGCCCGCGCCACACCATCACCGTACCCAATGGCAACCACTTCGAAATCGGCGACTTCCGCATCCGCATCGGCGACGTGCGCCAGACCGCCCCGCAAACCCGTATGCGCGGGACGATTGTCGAGATCGAATATCGTGGCCCCGCCGGCGCTGGCGATGTTGCCGCTTCTGCTGCTGCTGCTGCTGCTGCTGCTGCTGGTGCTGATACCCACCCCATGACCGATGGCGGTGAGACATGGCCGCCGTCTATCACTGATGGCAATATCGGTCTTGGCGGTGGTCCTGGTGACGAGGACGGTATCCTATACCCGCAACTCGAGACATTATCGCCCTCGCCCTCGTCCTCATCGGCGTTGGTAGAGGATATCCCGACGGACGAAGATTGGGAGGTGGGGGAGGTGCTTATCCGCGAGCTATGGAGTCGGTTTGCGGTTGAGGGGGCGCGGGAGGTGATTCGTGTGCCGCACTTGGGCAAAGAGGCGAGAGAGGCGAGGCGGTTGGGGAAATTGGGGGATAGAGCGGTGAATGCGAGGATTGCCGGGGCGGATTTGGCGAGGCAGTATATGGAGGTTTTCAGGTTTAATCGGTGAGAAAGGGGGTGAGAAGGATAGAGTGACAAGGGTGTGGGATGGTTGTTTCTTTTTTTTTTTTTTTTTTTTTTTTTGCTTTTCTCCCTTCCTTTTGGTTATTGGCCGCATATCCCCATTTTGTTGGGCTTGGGAGCTAGGCGTTCGATGTGTCAGATTTTTATATATATACGATTGATTTTAACTACACTACATAAATGATATCGGGGTGTTTAAGAATGAAAAGCCCTATGGTCGGGCTGCGTTCCCAAAAAGTGGGATGGATGCCATTTACTCTAGGAGAGGTAGATAAGTCAACATAAAACTAAGATCAAGAGAAGCGAAAGTTTCATTGCCATTTGCTTTTTCTATTGTTAAATTTCATGAGGTTCATGAGGCCATTTCAAATTACCATGTAGCGGAAGTTTCAATTCATATAGAACGTTAAGGGGGGAAGCGGTGAGGTTACTAAACAAACTCAGCGGCAAATATATGGAAATGGGGTGAGGGGGCAAGAAAAGGATGTAAGCATCTTATAAACAGAACCCAAATGGATGAAGGCAAAACGCGATAATAATGACAGAAAATTGGGCGCAATCTTTTTTTTTTTTTTTTTTTTTTTTTTTTTTTTTTTTTTTTTCTTTTTTTCTTGTCTTTTCCCTTCCTCCTTTTCTTCAATCTTTCACGATCCTATCTCATTCCGACTTCGAACATTTCCATTCTATCATTTCCCGGTGCGCCTTTCAATCAGGTACTTAAGTGTTCGAGGGTCCAATTGAAATGACATATTAAGAGGCGCCCTTAGTACAGCACTAATAAATTGACAGCATGCCGGAAAAAAAGGGATATAGATGCCATTCGAAAATCGTAGTTCGTTTCAACATTCGACAGCAAATGGTGGGCCGCATGGTAACAAACGTGAAATCAACAGCTGGTAGCTTAGGGTTTCAAGGGAACAGGTTTTTAACCAGCGCCTATTTCTGCATCATGAGCTGAACAAACTCGTTGTCTAAATTTTTGGTGAAGAGTCGGTCAGTCATTGAATTCATATATATATATATATACATCTTGCCCAGTTCCATGGAAATATGTTGAACTCACAGTCGATTCGTCCATCACCATCCTGGTCCGCCTCACGGATCATCTCATCAACCTCGTCATCTGTCAATTTCTCACCGATCGAAGTCATAACATGACGTAACTCAGCGGCAGAAATAAACCCGTTGTTATCACGATCGAATACTTTGAACGCTTCCCGAATTTCTTCTTCGGAATCCGTGTCCTTCATTTTCCGTGCCATCATAGTCAAAAACTCTGTGGAAAAACGGTAGATGGTTAGATACGGAGTAACAGTATATCGCATAAAATGCACACGAGAAAGTAAAACTTGAGCGCCGTACCTGGGAAGTCAATGGTTCCATTGTTATCTGCATCAACCTCGTTGATCATGTCTTGCAGTTCTGATTCGGAAGGGTTCTGTCCCAAAGACCGCATTACGGTTCCCAACTCTTTGGTGGTGATTTGTCCTTATTCGTTTGGAAGCACAAATGCAGTAGTCAGCTCTGATCCAAAGTGGTAATCTATCTTTATCCTCCACATTTCCTAGGCTTCCTACAACCGCGCAGACGTAAAAAAAAACTTACCATCGCCATCTTTATCCTATCAAATAGAAGTTGATGTTAGTCATGCCTAAGACGGGGGAGTAAGCCTACGGGATGAGGGGTAAGGTCCAATGACGACTTACGAAAAGGGAGAATGCCTCCTTGAACTCAGAAACTTGTTCTTCGGTCAATGAGTCGGCCTAGACGTGGTAATGGAATGTTAGCTTCTGATCAAGTTTTTTGCACCTGAAACATAGATATACAATGGGTCAGGATGCCACTCCCAGGATGAGGAGGGGCAGTTTCGAGGGGGGTAAACTGTGCAACCGCAACAGTGACAAGACGTACCATAGCGATGGATATGTTTTGAAATTAATTAATAAATCAACAGATGGGGGGGGGGGAGTATAAGGTGAGATATCACTGGGTGTCAAAAAGAAGCAGACAATAGCTATGGCGGGGGACAGAGGTTGGAATGTGAGGAGGTTAATTATAATAATAGTCACAGCCAGTGTTTGGACCTTGCAGATAACGTGACTTCCCCCGCTGCTCGCTTGGGATTGGCGCCAAGCCTCCAGCGCCAGGCAAGGCTCATTCGCGCAAAAGAGCCTCATTATTAGTTAGCTACTGAAACCGCTTTCAAACTAGGCGCTAGTCCGCATCGGTGAAAAGCCCAAACTCCAGATTGTCCGGAGTTTATCAGATTCAACCCGCCAGTCCAGCTTCTCGATGGCCTCATACGGCGGCGCCTTTTCGTCTGTCTAGCTGCTTGCTTTATGCTCTTCTGCTCAGGCAGATTGTCTAACGCCCCTTTCTACATCATGATAAGATACCCCACAACGCCCTGCGCATGACGAACAGCAGCTACAGCTAAACTACTCCGTACCGTACCAGCCTCCGCACATCTCCCTACCGTCGGCTCTCAGCATCCGCCACGCCTCCGGTTTTCTCTCCAAATATGTGGCGAGACCGCACTAACCTGTAAGCTCCTTGTGGCATCCAGTGTGACCGACTTCTCTTCTGACAATTCCGCCCGGGCAGATATATCTCCTACCGTCAATCCTTTGTCCATCACCCCTCGAAAAAGCCGCGATACCTCGGGCCTTGGAATGACCATGCAGACACCTCGTCAATATCAGAAGAGCGGCGCGGACTCATATCAGGTAGTGGGCTGGAAGATGACGGGGATGCTGTCATCGAAATGGACCTCCTCCCACCACGCTGGGTCGACATCCAAGATGATGTAACAGAGCTCTTAGCAGGAATCGCGCAGAAGTCAGTGCGCCTGGATAAGCTCCACCAAAAGCACGTCTTGCCTGGGTTCGAAGATGAAAATGCTAGAAGGCAAGAGGAGGGCATAATAGAACAATTAACGCAGGAAATCACCCGAGCTTTCCACGATTGCCAGCGCGCGATTCAGCGAATCGAGACCATGGTGAAAGAACAGAAGCAGCATGGGGGAGTCAGCAAGAGTGATGAGACGATGGCGAAGAATATCCAGATATCACTTGCCTCAAGGGTTCAGGAAGCCAGTGCTGGATTTAGAAAGAAGCAGAGCATGTATCTAAAAAGTAAGGGCTCCCACCATCCCTATCCCCCAGAGGGTTTCCTTACAACCCAGATCAGATCAACTAATTTTACTATTGTTGCGCAAATACAGAATTACGAAGCTTGGATGGAATGACGACACCGCTGGAGCGGTCCGCAACGCCCATACAAAACCCATATATGGATCCGTCCCTGATAGAGTCAGATGCCGACAAATCCTATTCACAATCCACCCTCCTCCAAACATCCCAGAAGCGAGTAACCAGCAACGACACCGCGATCGCCCAACGCGAGCGCGAAATCAACGACATTGCGCGCGGCATTATAGAGCTGTCTGATATCTTCCGCGATTTGCAGGCAATGGTCATAGATCAGGGCACGATGCTCGACCGCATCGATTTCAATGTCGAGCGCATGAATGTCGACGTGAAAGCGGCTGATAAAGAGCTTACAGTCGTACGTTTTTCTTGTTGCTCTATCTCCTACCGCTTGTCTTCTCTTTCCCTCCCTGCTGTCTTCAAATATATGAAAACACATTATCTCCACCATATCTACTCAAACTAAACACCTCCCAAACAGGCAACCAACTACCAACGACGCACCGCGAAAAGAAAAATCCTTCTCCTGCTATTCCTCCTCGTCGTCGGCATGTTCATCATTCTCCTCGTAAAACCAAAACGGAGCAGTACCGACTCACCGGCTCCAGCGCCAGCACCAGCCCCGCAACCCCCAACTGCACAACCGCACCAAAGAACGCAAAGGTACCGCAGAACGTTGCTCCCGTACAGCTCTGGTCATGGATCGCCAGACCCACCAACCCCCCCCTCAACATCATCTTTATTATCTTCATCACCATTATCCTCCCCCACCTTCCCATCTTCATTTCTCATTCGAAGGAACCGATTCTCGAGGGATTCCTGGATCGTTGCGCCAGATATAATAAATGTCCCCTAAATAGTAAATGATAATAATAACAACAATATAGATTACATAACGTATCTTTAGCGGGCTTGAATTATTATATCAGCTCGTCTTCCTTGGTGTTCTTTTCTTTCAAATGAAATACATTTTCGCCGTTTTTTATTGTGTCATGTCTGCCCGTGCTCAGTCTTCTCGCTCTCTGTGCCTAGTCTGATGTGCGTCGTGCCCTGTGTTTCGAGAGACAAGAAGTACTTACCGCACATATATGTACAAATGGATAGAGTGTTCGGTTCGGATCTTCCACCCGTGTCTTTACGGAAATTAACCCTTTTCACACCCTAGCGTTGACCCACCAAAGAAAAGCGAAAAAAAAGGGGGAATTCAAATAAGTTTCATAAAGTTTCCCGTGTCTTCATTTGAAAAAGTTTATGATAAAACCAAACTGACCGAGTAGACAAAAGAGCTGAAAGAAAGCCATGCGAAAAGGAGAAAAAAAAAAGCCCTTGATAAAAAAAAAACAAGAAAGGAGGGCAAAAGAGGCAACAATAGAATTCCCATGCCATCCATTGACCTAGTAAACAGTAGTAGCACCTCGTCTCCGTTCCTTATCCCAATCGCAGCTACAACCTCTAACCCAGACGCCCTTAACCTACCTATATAGGCAAGATACAAGTACAATACAATACAATACGGACCCCCAGACTCTAATACTTGTTACTCTCCTGCCTCAACAGCTCCGCAACATCATCATCCAAGTCCGCCATAACGTCTCCCCCAGCAGCAAAGCCCGGATACTCATCCTGCTGCGGATGCGGATGCGAAACTTTGCGCTTCTTCGCGCTCGATCCATTCGTGTCCGCGTTTGTAGTTGCGGGGAGATCTGTGGGGCCCTGCTGTGGTCCACCAGGTCCATGTCCATGTAGCGCCGCGAGAGTTGAGGATAGATCCATAGCGGTAGGCATGGTTGGTGTTGTTGCGGCTTGGTTATCCACAGCGCCTTGCTGTGGGAGGAAGGGCTCTGTGAGGTACTGGTGCTGTGGAAGCTCGGTTTGGCCCGGCTGAGTAAAAGTGCCAATCCCTGTCGTGGGCTGTTGCTGATGGTTATGATGCTCCGCATTGCCCGCTGACGCTTGGTTTCGAGAAGGGGAGCCGGTTGGCGTGAGGGCCTCGACAGGTGGGGGTGTCAGCGCCTCGACGACGGGACGCTCAGGCTCTTCGCTTGGTTGAGTTGGTGTTGTCGTTTCCGCACTACCAGTATCATTCCCACTGCCATTTCCCTGTGGCGCTGGCGAATTCTCCACCGATAAGCCGCGCATTATAGCGTCTTCAACGTCCCGCTTCCTACTCTCGGTCTCCATTTTGCGTGCCGCCAGTTGTTCAACCTGCGCCTGTTCCTTGGATAACGCTGCGCGGTTCGTGTCTAGAAGCTTCTCAAGCCCCTGAATCAAGCTCTGGCGTGACTTGATGATTTCTGAAACGGAGCTTTCTGCATTTGCGAGGGACTTTAGAAGCTGGCTTAGACGTGCGGCGTGAACGGGGGGTGTGGGGATCTGGGCGGATGGGTCGTTCATTTTGTCATATTCGGTGTTGGCAGCTGTGATGGCGGCAGTTGAGGCGACAGTTGCTTTGGAGACGGCCGTCTGTAGTGGGGCTAGGGGCTGTAGCTCGGATGGAATAGACCCAGGCGCGCTGGCGAACAGCGAGCCGCCCAGCAATGGTTTTTTGCCGGATGATTTAGATTTGTCCACCTCTGCAGGGAACCGGTTAACAGGAACGGCGGAAGAGTTACAAGGGGAAAGTTGAAGGACAAACCATCAACCCGAGCCTCTACGGCCTGCTGAATAGGTTCCTCAAAAATATTCCGTTGTCGCCAAACCTCAATTACACGCCTTAGCTTTCGTTGGATATCATTCGAAGCTCCCTTAAACGCGACTGCAGTCGCATCCGCGATGATCTAGAGGAGGTAGTTCAGCACAATGGACAGATGTATAAAATAATAACAGAACTGCAGGACATCAAGGCAAACCTACTGGTGAGAAGGCAATGAGAAAATCCTGCTTCCGCTTTGCTTTAGATTGTTGTGCGACCTCTTCCAGCCGGGTAAGGGGCAAAAGTTAGCATGTCTATCTCCTCTCCCCCCCCCGTGACGTCTCGGAACAACCTTAGATTGAACCCACCATTTGCTAAGTATATAAGATTCAGGCGCTTCGGAGGATTTGATTCGCGAAGTTTCTGTAACCATAGCTGCGCAGTGCGGTCTGCATGTCTCCTACAAAATGGCGATTCTATTTCAGCAATGTTTGCGCGCGCGGGTGAGATAGGGAGAGGGACAAGGAGGAGCAAACCTGTGGAACATGACCCACTGGGCTACCGTGACGATGGATTCCTGGGTCTCATTGAGGGCAGACAGCTTAGCCTTGACGGCGTCATCAGTGTATGACATTGTCCTGAGGAGTTTTGGGCTTGAATCCTGGTGTGGGGGGGAGGTTGGTGTCAAGCTATTTATTTATCCAAACAATGGATGAGTCTGGCGATAGTTAACACACTAGGGATTGCAAGCGGACGAGTTACGTGAGCTGGGATCGCAAAGGGTTTAGTGAGCTCAGGGATAGCAGAACTCAAGAGTTGGCGACAGATATGTAGCAGCTAGGCGTAAGTATTCACTTCGTCATGATTTGCCTTGGAATATCGTCAAGCCCCAAGCAATAAATACATAGGTTAAGGCTGTTGAAGCCACAGTCGTTGCTTGGGTCCTGATATGCTCACCGCCTTCGCTCTATGGATTTGGTGGCAGAATCCCGCCAGACAGCAACCAGCGTCGTAATATCTGTCTATCTAGATCCATCTTCCATCTCCAGTCTCCCATCTCTTTGTCTCAACTAATCGACAGAAATCTCTAGTTACTCTCTCAATATCAGTTATATTTTCCAGCATCCGCTTCTCAATTGGCTGTCCATTTCCCGTACTCCCCATCCTCCATCATCATGGCAGACCGGTTCCCGTCTCTAGAGGACTTCTCTGCCGGTACGATTATAACCTCTATCCATGCTTCCCAGAAGCCCTTTCTGACTTGCATTGTTGAAACTAAAAAAAAAAAAAAACAATCGGTCAAACAGAACCCACAGGCACCCAAGGCAGCCCGAGAGGAACCGCTACTGAGGGCGAAGACTTCCTAACGCGCGAACGTGCTCTCCTGGGCGATGATGCAGACCAGTTCGCTACTCCAAATGACCAACTCCAGACCTCTGCCACGGTGGAAGACGCTACGGAAGACGATCTGCTAGGCGGTGGAGGAGGAAACGACTATCAGCCAGGCAATACTGAGGGCGGAGATATAATGGGAGGGTTCGAATCGTCGTTTCCCGCCCTAGAATCACAGAATGAGGTACGTACTCTCCTGATGAGGGTTCAAAAAATAAATAAATGCGAGGAAAAGAAAAAGAAATTACGTTCTATGTTCTACGTTCTAATCTTATTTTCATATGCAGCAAGTTGCGCCAGGTGGGACCATCACAGGCACAAGTTCTTTCCAACCTTCATACTCCACATACAAACAGCCAGAAGAAGAGCCAGAAGCAGTCCGGTAAGTCCCCTCCAATCAACCAATCAATCAAACAATCACGGCAACAAGAACGACATCATCAGCATCAGCATCGTCTAACCCTCCCTCTCCCCTCCCCCCCCACCACAGCGAATGGCGCCAAAAACGCGACGAAGAACTCACCCGCCGCGCCGCCATCTCCGCCGAGCGCAAAGCAGCCACCATCTCCAAAGCCCAACAGGACATCGACGACTACTATGAGTCCTACAACAAGCGCACAGACCGCGCCAAGGAGCGCACGCGCAAGGAGGCCGACGAGTTCCTGGAGAACCGCGAGGATACGGCCGCGGGCGGAACCAGCTGGGAGCGCATTGCCAAGTTGGTGGATGTTAGTGGGAAGGGGTTAAAGGGGGGTGCGAGCGGGTCTGGGAAGGAGAGGTTTCGCGAGTTGCTGCTTGAGTTGAGGAAGGATGAGGGTGCGCCGGGGGCTGCGGGGGTCTGAGTGTGTTTCGCTGTTTGCGTCTTGGATGTTGGGTGTTGGGTGGGTGGGCAGGGTTTATGGGGATGCTTGTGGTGTGAGGCGGTGTTTTGGATGGACGGGGTCGCGGATGGGGTTGAGAGTGGGCATCCGTGGATGGAATAGAATGGCTGGTTTCGGCGTTGTTCATCTATACGCCGGGAAAGAAAGCGGTTCGATAATTGAAGACCATGCTTCGATTTTTGTTTCCAATAAACGGAATTAAAAAAAAAAAAAAAAAAAAAAAAAAAAAAAAAAAAGCAACACCACGACGCGGAGAGAGGAGAGGAGTAAAGAGGAGTTAGGAATCGGCTTCTAACCCACATCGATTCTCCGTCAAACGAACCCATCTATAAACGCATCCCATGCCATCATCCATCCACTCCGACACCCTATCCCGCATCATCATCATCATCATCATCCATCGTCATCATCAGCCCACTTTCCTCTAGGCACCCACTCCCTCTTGCCCCCTCCAGCGTTCTATTCTATTTTCCACCTCTGTCATCCCTAATGATCTCCTCAATTTCCTTTCTCTTTCTTCAGTAGCCCCGCCTTTTTGGTCTGTTATTTAGTTCCTTCTTCTTTTTTATTCAGTTAAAGATAGCTAGTTTCCTTTCTCTGCGAATTCCAGAATTTATTTTCTTTTTTACTTCCCTTGTCTTGCGTGTAGAATCTATTAATTGACGCGCAATGTTCAGAGAAGGGAAACAGAAAAAAGCCGTAAGACCGGGGTTACTAGGGGAGGCAAATTGGCGCCCGCAAGGAGTGTAAATATACAAAGAAAAAGAGAGAGAAAAATCCTGTACAAGAGTTTAAGCGTTGAGTCATGTCATTGTGTGCATTAAGTTATCAATATATATGTATATATAGAGAGTGAGGTAGTATGTAGTTTCCCCAAGATGCAAATACAAAAAGAACTCCATAATCTATAACAGTAGCGGAAAAGAAAAAGAAAAAGAACAAGAAGGAAAATGACAGAAGCAAAAGAGAAAAGAAAAGAGAGCAAAAAGTAACAAGGGAATGAGAGATGTGAGATTCGTATACGTATATATATGAGGTATGAAAAGGGGAAATATGCCAACGGAAGACGAAACGCAGAAAAAAGAGAAGAAAACGGATAAGAAATGAAAAAAGGAACGCAGTAAAGACCGGGAATATGACAACCCAAACCATCCAGTCCCCAGAGCGGAAAACCCTCATTCGCGGCACCTGAACCAAAAAGTCTCTCTCTCAATGGCAGAACGTAGATACCCCAAGAAGATCATCTGCCGATACCCAACACGTTCACGCGCCTTGATTGATAACCAGAGGCCCGGGGGACTCAACATAGCCTGACACGAGACACCCAGTATCTTTAGCTGCTTTGTATTGGTCTGGGCTGACTCGACGGGGAGGCTGGAAAACCCTGAAAAATATCACTGGAAAAGTCTCGACCGACAGGACAACACTGCTGTGAAACCATGAGTTCCAAGGATGAATATATAAATAAATTCGTAAATATAAATATGAAAACCTAGGGGGTTTCAATATTTGGCTTGGGGGGAGGGGGTTGGTTTTAAAAGTAGCGGTTGAACGAGGAAAGTGGTGGGGGGTAATATATGTAATATTCCAGGTCCCCTCTTGTCGGCTTTCCCGCATGCTATGTTATGCACAAATAAAAATAAAAATTGCATCAGATCATTTATTTTCCAAAAGATGCACACCGATAAGGATGCTCCTCGGAAGGAATGGGTGGACAATTTTGTCGTAAGATAGGTGTGGTGGTTGCTTGTATAGGCATCCTTGCATATGCGACTGGAGATAGAAAATATATGTAAAAAAATAAATAAAAACGAATAAAACGTATGAGACGACAAGAGAAGATGCGGGAGATAGAGGAAAAGAGGGGAAAAAAAGAAACGGTTGTCTTGTTACGCCACCACGGCAGTCAGAGGGACAGGTTTCTCAGCCTGCGGTTGCTCCTCCTCCCTAAACATTAAGCGCTTCAACAGGTCAACTGTCTTGGCGCACAATGGATCTACGTATAGAGTCCACAGGTACGCAACCGTGTACAAGACGGCGTAGAAGATCGGGAGAATGAATACAAACACCAGTCCGCCCGGTTTGGGCAGCTGAATGAGGTTGCCCTGCGCATCTGTCTTTGGGGTCGTGGCTGCGGTACGCCAGTAAGCCATCCAGACGAGGATGGTGCGCATGAGCGAGTTGTGGAGTAGGTAGACGGGGAAGGAGACACGGCCGAGGAAATTGAAGACGGGGTTCGTGAGGACTCTTTGCGCATTGCGGGAGAAGAAGATTCCAACCATAAGGATTGAGGTGCCGACGGAGACCCAGTAGCGGGATAGGTCGGTGTTGGCGGGGACGACTAGCTCCATTGACTCCTTCATTGTTCGTGACCAGTAGGCCCAGTGTGCATTGTGTTGTGGATAGCTCCATACAAACAGACCCACGAGGATGATGAGCGAGGGGACGGGTTTGGGAAGTAAGGAAGTAGCCCGAGAGCCAAGGTCCACCTGGAGCTGTGCAAGCGCGAGGCCTGCGAAGATGTTTATTCCAACGATATCTGGATTTGGGGAAAAGTTTGTTAATTTGGAGTTTGAGGGAATAGAGTTGAGAGTTTTACCGTGAGCGTTAACTAGTAGAAAGGGGCAAAAAAAAAGGGATGCTTACAATCTCCAGTAGACCAACACCAGACGTAAAGGAATCCGGTGACAAGGCGCCAATACCGTGTCTGGAGAAGCATCATGGCCAATAGCGCCAAATATACCCGGAACGAACCTTGCAAGAAATATACAAGTGTCCAGTGAGTGCCATCATATTCACCTGGGCCGGTATGCCAAAATAGAGTCAAAGCACGGAAGAGTTTGATCAGAGCCTCTCCCCAAGACGCATCTGGACCATGGGCTTGTAGGCGGATCCAGCCCGCATCAACCCGAGAGGCCATATGAAAAGCACCAAGTTGCGCCAGGAGCCAAGCAATACAGACAGCAATGGAGGTGGGCAGCACTAGGCGGCCCGAGCGAGTGAAGGTGCTCCTTGCCAGATTGACGAGGGCGACGGAGGTGTTGTTGGCGCGGGCATTTTTGACGGGGTTGAGTGAGTTGACGAAGCCGGTGATGATGAAGAAGATAGCCACGGCGCCACGGCCGCCCACGACGAGCCTGAAGAAGGGGAGTTGGAATAACAAAGGGCCCTCACCCTCTCTAATGGTGGGATTGTGTAGATACGGAACGAAGGCGGTGCAGATGTGGCCGGTAACGACGATGAAGGAGGCAACACCACGGAGGCCCTGGAGAGCGGTAAGGCAGCGTACATTATTAGACGGGGCAGTCCACACACACACAAAGATTATCAAGAGAGATAGTTTTTAAACAGATATCCATATTAGCATGAAAACCACGTACATCAACCCAATTGTCCTCCCTCTTTCTCTGGGAGGACGCCGGGGGCGTGGCTTTGCTGGGGAGGATCGACCTCAGGGAAGCGAAGGGAAAGGAGATACGGGCAAACATCGTGGAGGAGGAGAGGAAGACGACTATAATAATAATAATAATATCATGGGAAAAGCAACGCAAGAGGTAATCTCTTTCCCGAGTCCATTAATCGTAGATTATATTTATCTTCCAAGGGTTGTTTTCGGAGTATTCAGATCCTGATGTAAGGGGTCCCGCGAGGGTTCAAGAGAAAGAGGGGAAAGAGGATTGCACCAGCAAGACGCAGGGCAGAGGGCGTTCAAGGAGCGAGAGTTGTTGAAGATGAAGAAAGCAAGACGACGACGACGACGACGACGACGACAATAATAATAATATTAAATGTAGACATTGGGACCGGACGACCAGGGTGAGACAAGCCGAGATATAGGGCGTTTCGCAGAGCAGTCTAGCATCAGTCTAGCATCAGTCTTAGCACCAGTCTGGCAACTCACAAGCTCGGCCAATCTAAGTAGCAGAGAGCAAGCGCCCAGTCTGTGATTCCCCGGATGGCTTGAGAATATTTCGCAGCGTTAATAAGTTGTATACGGAGTATACTCCGTATATTATTTAATATTATTATTCCTGTCTGAATGTTCTTCCTGACTGACCCTCCTGCAACTCGGCCTAGGCGCCTATCTCTATTCCCTCAGAACTTCAGAATTCCTGTAAACTGTAAACTGTTTATTTACTGTTAAATTGTAATTGAGCGGGCCCCTGATCTACAGCACTAAAAGTATCAGATTGATTCTAATACACGGCTTGTTTCCCAGCGCAACTTAATCCGGCAATTATCCAGGATATCAATCACAACTACATAAAAAAAAAAAAAAAAAAAAAAAAAAAAAAAAAAAAAAAGAGTAAATAAACAAACACATCCAGCGAATTTTTCTGCAAATAATACCAGCACCCTTCTCTTTTATTGGCCAACGTCCATACCATACCCTCGCAAGATGCAAGAATACATAGTGATAAATAAGTTGTCGGTGGCTGACCGAGTACCAGGGGCCCTTGTAGCCAGCATGGCAAACATCCCATGGATATTGATTTTTACATCCATGGAGAATATAAGAAATAACATATTCTAGTCCCCAAGCTGGGGAAAAATTATATATATAAAAATATAAAGATCAATCAGCTTGGAATCAGATTGAGTTGCAGAACTTGGAACAAATGGGAATATAAAACGATAAAAGGCAGAGTCCAATCTAGTTTTTCCTGAAATAGTCCTTGGTGAATCATTAACTATTATAACTTACTTTCTCTTTTCTTTTTTTATCCTTTTCCTGCCCCTTTCCTAGTCATATATTATTAAAAGAAGCTCCTCTGGTTCCCGTTCCTGCAATCCTGGTATGCTGTGTGGCCCTAACCTGAACTCTCCGCCAAAGAGATAACTATGGTAATAACGAACCTAACAGACCCCAACGGAGAATAAATCGAAAAAGAAAAAGAAAAGAAAAAAGTATGATACTTCTTGATAACTCAACAAGAACTTCCCGACTTATTATCTCGTCGGAGAGCCTTTTCGAGGGGCTCTCTTTCTTTCACCTTACATAGAAGCCGAACTTCGGCAATGTCTCGGCGGTTGCCAGGCTCAGCATATTTATTCTCGTCGCTACGGTACATGTACATGTAATGTATGTACTCCGTACATCGTCGCAATTCTCCAGTGTTTGTTCACACTTCATTTACCCCCTATAAACTCGCTGTGGTGATATCCCACCCCTAGGAAATAACTCCCACGTCTCTTACTAAGGAGAAACCGCATTTTGTCTTGTCCTCGCGCGGGGTTGGGTTGTTCCAAATACAATCCCGCCCCCCAAATCACGAAAGATGAACCTCTCACCCTCCAGAAGAGTCTCGTTGTACTGCGTATTTGGGGGAAGAGATAACCATACCAAACCAAACCAACGTTGAATCTTTCATTTCCACTTATTGCTGTACAGACAGAAGAAAAACAGACACGATAAAAGACAAGCCCGGAAGTGCGGAGAAGGGAAAAAAAAAAAAAAAAAAGCCATCAGGTTCCAACACTTGGGCTATATACGAGGACTGAACTAGATTTTTTTAGCAGGGGGAGATGGATGACTCGGATTGAGACAAATCGCCCAATTGTGGAGAACGGGACTGGAACAGGAGGCTGAGACATACATAGGCTGACAAGTTACAACCTTCTCAAATAAACGTCTTTGGTGGTGGTGGCGGAGGAGGAGGAGGAGGAGGAGGAGGAAGGAAATGGCAAGAATAATGGTGTGTAAGTTACTGTACGTACGTCTAGAATGTTGTTGATTCCCACACTCTCCCACACTCTCCCACTTCATATAAAATTTAATATTTAATCAATAGGCGGGGATATGAATTTGCAAGTTTTTGGCAGCGAGCTAGAGAGAGGATGTGTGGCCTGTCTGTTAGTTAACGTACATGTACTTGTACATGTACACACAATACAGTACAGTAACGTTACCTATCCATACCTGGGCGGGCTTCATTAAGCAACATAACAATTGACGAAGAGACCTAGGATATCTGAAACTGCTGAATTGCCACAGGCCAACAGGCAACTAAATACCTTGTGGGTTGAGTTTCCTCGATCAAGCGGGGCCCGGCGTAGGCCTCTTCTAGTTAATCTCTCTATATATCTCTCTTCTCTCTATATATTATAGAAAAACCAACTTTTCCGAGTAAAATGCCCTGTAACATGACCTCACATGATATCACATGCACCCCATCAAATCCATCAATGGGATTGACCAGCCAGCTCTGCAGCCCATACAGCTCTGATATTAATCTTCATTCTTTCCTTTACAGATGTTCTCTACTGTATTTACATTCTTTATACTCTTCTCTACATTCATTACAACCTATACATGTGGAAGGTGTAAAGCTTGCTTGATTGAAAAGGTTGCTAGCTTGTGGGGTGTATACAGAAAACTTGACCTCGCTAAGTGCGCCACTTGACCTTGTTACATAATCATGACCCTGACCTCACACAATACAGTAATAATCAGTTGATAATTGAGTTTCAATCTTCAATTCACTCATTCATTCATTCATTCACTCAGCTCATCAATCAATCAAAGCATGTATAGCTGATTCATAATCAATTAAATGAACAGACAAATTCATATAGAATATAAAGAGATGTTTTACAGAATTTTAAAATATATTAAGATAAAAATATTTAACAATTAATTTTAAATTAATTTTGAATTGATTTTGAATTGATTCTGAATTGATTGTTAATTGATTATAATAATAAAAATAGATTCAATCTATATATTTAAGTAATTAATAATTGATTGAAAATCAGTTGATAATTAATTTAATGTAAATTATATAAATACTTACTTTATTATTAAATTTGAGAATAATTTCAGTATTAAATTAATTTTGAATTGATTTTGAATTAATTAAGAATTGATTATAGAATTGATGATAAATAATTGAGTGATTTCAAATTACAAGAAAAGATGTATTGAGCGAGGTCAGATAGTGGCACGGGCCACATTTGCGAGGTCAGCTTACATAACGAGGTCAAGTGGCGCACTTAGCGAGGTCAAGTTTTCTGCTTCCTGGCTTGTGGGAAGTTAGTTATATGGTGGAAGGATTAGTAAGCCAGATTATGTGACCTGACAATACATGCAAAAAAACACTGTAATGTGATATCATATGTATTCTACCAAAAATATTTGAATGCTCTGACTCATACAGCTCAGATCAATCTTCAAATCTTCATTCTTTTTTTTCATTCTGCTTCTTTCATATATTCTCTATAGTATTTACATTCTTTATACTTTTCTCTATATTCATTTTTGATGTCTGTGTTCATGGCATGCACTGCTAAATTCTCTATAACATGATCTCATATGATGTCATGTGCATCTCTTTGAATTCAGATGGGATTGAACAGCTGGCCCTGCAGTCTGTATGACTCTGATTAATCTGATAATGGTGATAGAGGTGATACAGAGTGGAAGAGAGTGGTAGGGGGAGAGAGTGATAGAGGCAGTAGAGAGGGTAGAGGGTGGAAGGGGTGGAAGGGGTGGTAGAGGGGGGGGTAGAGGGGGGGGTATAGAGAGTGGAAGGGGGTGGAAGGGGGGAGGGTGGAAGTGGTAGAGGGGGCTGCGCAAGCACCAAAGCCAGCGTAAGCGAGCATTTGATGCTTGTTAGTATTGATTAGTTATTGGTAATATAGTAGTTAGAAGAATTCTAGTAATTTAACCGACACAGCTTTCGTTCTCGCCGAAGACTCTTCCATCCAGATAAACTCAGAGGCAGTTTTGAAAGGTTTCAGCAGGCGCTGTTGGGCGGCCATATATGTAATGTACAAGTACAGTACATCATCCTTGTGTGTGTGTGTTTCTGTGTTTCTGTGTCTCACAGCATCAGACCCATACCTACTACTGCGTCGCGTATTCGGGGACCCGCCAGGTTTCCATCCTACACATTTATTTCCCTCCCCCCTTTGTCCCGACTTCAATTCCAATCAGCTCGTTGAATTAGATGTGTCACACGGCATGGCATGGTATGGGCGCATGGTGCCTGGGGATGACCGTTGAGCAGAATACGGAGGGTACATATACATACATCGAGAAACGTATGAGAAACACAGTCACGGGTTAACGTACGACTTTAAGATCTGGCAATGGCAACAGGACATATATGATATGGCCGCCGTATGGGACGGGTACGGGCTATAGGTTAAAAAGGAGAGCTCATGATATCTAGATGATTTTTTGTGGTATACTCATAATAGTATTTGGGTTCTGGTAGGTTTGAGGGTATATAGCGAGATGAGCGGAAAAGTGAATATGCTGGATGATGGCCCACGGTGTAGAATTTGTGTGCAGAGTGGGAAATATAAACTAGAACGTGAAATGTGCCAAAATATATGTAAACATTCATATAGACATATGCATATATATTGATGTGGGTATGTGATGGAAGTCCACGGCGTTGGTATATAAAAAACTCTAGATATACAAATATATGAATTCTAAATATGGAGTTATGCGCCTCTCCAAGCAAAGGCAAAGCAAGAACCGCAAAGCAACATAAAGGAAAGAAAGGGCGAAATCATACAGATACTCGAAAGAAAAAGAGATAATCCAAAATCTCAATATATCATCATATCGATATGGACACAAGAAGCGCTCACGCAGTGAGTTAGGAACAAAAGAAAAGGGAAAGTCATGCTTCCAACACTCACGTCGACGAACATTTCACATCCAGCCACTTCGTAAACACAGCAGACGGCTCTTCCACATGCCTCTGAAACACCTCCGCAACCCAAAACGAGAGCACCACCGTCGCTGTCCCTCCAATAGCAAATGTCAACCCGTACTGAAACGGCGTCTGGTATCCAAAAACCATATACAGCCATGGCATGAGCGGGTACAGGAGGAATTTCAGCACGATGGTGTGTGTCAGGTAGAGCGAGAAGGAGATGTTGCCGAGGTAGAGAAAGATGGGCCTGATGAAAAACCGCTGGACAGACGGGAGGCCCGTAATAGCCCAAATGAGCATGACGGTACCGACGGAGTCCCAGAAGCGGAAGAAGGCGGTGTAGGTGCGTGGAGAGGTCCATTCGAGCACGGCGAACGTCCATGCGTTCCAGATATCGGCGGCGGGGACGCTGAGGACCCAGAGGGCCAGGACCATGATGCTGACCATGAACCAGGGCGGCGGGGTATAGCGGGCGATTTTAGAGTTGAATTTTGTGTCTGTGGTTTCGACCTTGGGGAGCGGGGCTTCTGCCGCCTCTTCTTTGATGATGTCTAGTTCGGCGAGGAAGGAACCGGCGAGGAAGAGGAAGACGTCCCATTTCTCGAAGGTGAGGAAGTAGAGGGAGAGGATGCCGTTGAAGGTCAGACGGGTTTTGCCGGAGCATCGCGCGAGAGCTGCGTGGACGAGGAAAAGGACCATTGAGCAGCGGAATTCGACGGGGATAGTCCATAGTTGGTAGGCGTAGGGGGAGTTTTGGCTCAAGTTTTCCCAGTCAAAGGGCCAGAAGAGGGGCGGGATGGTCTTGCACCAGAGCCAGAACTGGCGGAGAAAAGTCGATTCCTGGGGGGCCATGTCGAAGGTGCGGTGTGGCATGGTGTCATCGCCGAACTTGGCGACGGCGGGGAAAAGATTAAAACTCACCATAAACATGGGGACAAACGTGGCGATTATGGAGGGGATATATAATCGGAACAAACGGCGGAAGATCTTGGAGCTCAAGTCCAGCTGTAAGGGGGCCCAGGATTGGCTTCTGCATTTTCTGATTGTGCTAATTGATAGCACGTAGCCTGATATGAAGAAAAAGATGGTCGGCTGTCCGGTATAGAGGAGTCTGAAGAAGGGCAATTGGAAGATCGAATCGCGGCCTTCCGACCCATTGTAGGCATATGAGGAGTTCGGGAAGAACCCTAAAACCATATGCAGCACCACCACGCCGAGCGCAGCCAGGCCACGGATGCCATCTAAATATGCGGTTTTTCCGACCGGCCTCGACTGTTTCCTTGATCTGGGATCGAATCTGTTCTGAACGATGGTTGGAAGGAGAGAGAAAGCGCCGGAGGTGAACCCCCTTTGGCGGGGTGGTTGGAGGACTACCATATCTCTCTGGTCGTTGAAGGGTTAGGAGGACAACCGTGAGCGAGCGAGTGTAAATTAAATTGCGGATAAGAAGCCAGACAGCGCTTCTTCCAAAGAATGAGACGAAGAAATATATGAATAAGAAATCATTGGGAAATAAAGTAGAATATAAAAATAATTGCAAGATGAAGGCTGTGAGGCCCTCAGAAAGCGTAGAAAGAGAGAAAGAGAAAAAGAATGACAGAATGACAGAATGACAGAATGACAGAAAGAAGATAGAGAGAGGAATGAAAGTTGCCTCCCTCAAAACGAGAATCCCTAGAGCTCAAACGAGTATTGCCTGTAGGATCACTGGCCCTAAAAGTGACCCGCTGTTGGAGATTTTAGCTCTGGTTGGCGCAAAGAGGCGAGAGAGCCTTGAGTTATAATTTGTATTTCAAGGTTGGCTTTGGATAAGGGGCACCAGCCGTTGACACTTCAGCCATCGTGCCATAACTCCCCGTATATCAATCACCCTTTGAACATAATAAGGTTGGAAATGAAGAAGTCCCCCAGTCAAAACCCCCCCCCCCCCCGGTGCCGCTGGGGCACTCCGACTACCAGTCAGCAGTAGTAGTAGGTAGTAGTATCCAGACAACGACAACTTCTTCTCTAATTTTCATTATTATTTGAGACGCCATCCATGGCATGAACGGTGCGCGCGGAAGCCCCACAGGCAGTGACAAGCGCACGCTCAGGAGTCAGGATCAACCGAACGGCGAACGAACGGGGGCTGAGTGGGACCATTATTATTGGCAGTCGGGCGCCATCATTCCCATCCCTGCTAATAAATAATACTAGGAATACTAGCGGCGTAGTTATTTATTCATTCTTCCTTTTGGCGTTCAGCGCGGGGATAAGCCAAGCGCACATCTCCAGCCAGCACTTGATCCATGGACAAGTGGTCTGGCCGAACGGAGCTCACTGATGAAGCTCACTGTTGTATCGTATCCGCCGGAATGGAAGAAATAATGTTGAAAGAAAGTTTCTCAGGAGGTGTGGCTAGTAAGGTATTTAGTTAGCTTGGTCTTGGTGGGAAGATGCGAGACCTTGCAGCGAAGATTGTTGCTAATAATACTGTGGGCTTCTCGAGAGTTGTCGGTACTGTGCGTACATGTGGATAACTTGTACTCCGTAGATATATGCAGTCCCTCTGTAATAATCATTATTATTATTTATTATCATTCTTGTTCTTCAAAGATGCCGGTGGGTTGTGTCATCGCTGGCTGGTCGCATTCGCCGCTTTTTGGGCTGTTCTAAGTCCAAATCCCCCTTTTTTCCTCTCCCTCTCTCTCCCTCTTCCTCCGACTGTCCTCCCTCCGACAGACGGAGGAGCCGCTTGCTTGTTCTCTCTCTCCAACGCAATCAACAATGATAATGGCTCAAGGCCTCCGCTATCGACGTGGCATTCCGCTCATTCTCATCGTTCTCTTCTTGTACTTCACCCTCCGCAGAACTTCCTCTTCTTCTTCTTCTTCTTCTTCGTCCTCCTCCTCTCGGCCTCCAAACGATCGTAATCGCCCGGTATCAGGCGCCCCGACCCCGACCACTACGGACCACGGCAAGTTTTGGCAGGGCTTCCATGAGATCCTCAGAGCCGCTGAACCACGCTGCAAGTCACCGAAGCGGATAGAAGACCATCCTGAAGCGATTGGCTTTAAGCCCGACGAGGTCGATAATGTTACGCTCCCGGAGCATATCATAGTGGAGCCGGAAGATAGGGAGATATTAAAGACGGCGCACTCGCGATTTACCAGCTTGTTCTCGAGCCCGACTGCTCCAAAATTACACTACACTTCCGGCACACGGGGTATCGTCTCAACCGCGGGCGGCCAATACCTGCCGGTCCTGGTCACCTCGCTGCACATGCTGCGGCAAACAGGTTCGACGCTTCCCGCAGAAATCTTCGTGGCCGACAAAAGTGAATACGATGAATATGTTTGTGGTGTGCTGCTGCCCTCGCTCAATGCGAGATGTGTGATCTTGGCAGATATTCTGGACTACTCTCCCCTCGAACAGGGCCTGAAGAAGTACCAGTTCAAGATATTTTCCCTCCTCTTCTCGTCCTTCGAGCAGGTGCTATTCCTCGATGCCGATTCGTTCCCCATGCACGACCCCATCAATCTATTCGATTCGGAGCCATTCCTTTCAACGGGCTTGATTACCTGGCCAGACTTCTGGCAGGTTACTTACCACCCTTCCTTCTTTTACGTCTCTTCCCAAAAGATCCCAGCAGGATTCCGCCACGCATCCACAGAATCAGGCCAACTGCTGGTCTCCAAGAAATCCCATGCGCAAATGCTTCTTCTCTCAGCCTACTACAACTTCTACGGCCCGTCACATTACTATCCGTTACTCTCCCAAGGCCACCCAGGCGAGGGAGATAAGGAAACCTTCATAGCCCCTGCCATGATCCTGAATCTACCCTTTTACGCCGTATCCACGGGCCCCGCCGTCTTCGGCTATCGCAAACCAGACGGCGGGTGGGAAGGCGGCGTGATCCTCCAAACCCATCCGATCTGGGACTCACGCCTTCCAGACGGCGAAGTCTACGGTTGGGGCGGGAAACCGAGCGCCCCGCCAGAATCCTTCATAACCTGCCATGCCAACTTGCCCAAATTGGACCCCATCAGCGTATTTGGGGAAAGGGGCCTGGCGTGGAATGCTGACGGCAGCCCGCAGCGCATGTGGGGTCCCTCACATGATATGGTTGAGAAAGTCGGTTTTGATATCGAGCGCAGACTCTGGGGCGAGTTGCGGAAGACGGCGTGCGAACTTGAAGGCAAGTTTACGCCGTGGAATGATAAACCTAAGCTGTGCGCGAAAATTGAAGAGTTTATGAAGTACATGGCGGATAAATAATTTTATTTTTTATTTTATTTTTATATTTATTTTTTACTATTTATTCTATTCTTCAAATTGACTGTTTCCGGTCTGGCCGCTGCCAAAATATGCCAAACGGGGCCGAATTACAATGACCCTACCCCACACGCTCTCTTACAGGTGGAAAATTTGGACAGATGGGGCGAAACGCTGCCGCCATTGCTTCTTAAGTCGACGACAGGGGGTACAGTGCGTTCCCAAGTCTCATCTCCAGAATTGAAGAAAAGGCGAATTCCCACCTCCATACCCCAAGCGAAAATGGCACCGGTCCCTCAGCCCAGCCTCTGCTAGTCAAAAGCTGCATTCTTCGCCGACGACGGATTCCATAAACCCAAGCCCAAGCCCCAGCACAAGCCAACATTTTATTATTATGCGAATGTTTTTACTGGATGGCTTGGAAAAATCCGAGAACCAGAGCGTTCTTTGCTTACTTTCTTCATACATATATGCATATATTGGGGTCTACCCAGGCACTACATACACCTAGGTACCTAACAACTATGCGAACGATACACATCACCCTTCTGGCGTTTAGATTTTGGTATGGGACGTTAGCTTCTATTGTTTTACTTTTCTGGTTAACATCTACCTAGCTCTCTCTCTTGCTTTCTTTCTGTCTTGCTCTCCGTGTCTCCCTTTTCCCTTTCCCCCGATTTTTATCTCCCTAGAGAATAATGTATCATTATAATATCTGTGTTTTCTACTTGTTTGCTCTTTTTTTTAAAAAAAAGGGGGTTGGGGGGGGGGGGGGGGAAGCCTAGTATGAAAATGAAACCAGAAGTCATCCATGACAAAGTAAATCTTGGCTGACACTATACTATAGTATCCAAGCTCCTCTACTATTTTTTTCGCCCAATATTTGTTGTTTCATTTTCAAGTTTTATGGCACTTGTTTTATACAGCATACAACGGTGAAAGGTGTGGTCATAGTTAATGTGCTGTACATGTACATACATTACATTGTCAGGGGCATTAAGAGTAAGATGTGATCAGGGTTATCAAATGGGAAGGAGAAACAAAAGAACAGGGCTTCGAAAATTGTAAATGACTCCTGGTGTGGGATGTAACACTATTTAACCCCATTGATTTTTTTCACTTTCATTATTGTTCCTTCTTGGTAGAGTGAGTGAGACCTTTGTGCTTTGCTTCGAGTTAGTTGTCAGCTGCATGCATTCTGAATGAGTTCATGAGTTAGTTAGCTGTTCGGTATGTAAAAGAATGCCAAAAATCAGATAACCCCCTCCCCCTCACCTTGGCTTTTTTTCATAGACAGTAGATAGAACGAACTTCTCACAGTAGATTAGTAATTATCACTCCCTGGCACTCCATGGTTCATCCGCAAAAAAAAAAAAAAAAAAAAAAAAAAAAAAAAAAAAAAAAAAAAAAAAAAAAAAAGTAAAAAAAAACCCACGCCCCCTCAAATGTACACCGAAACAATCTTCCTATTCACTCAGGATCCCCAACAGCTTCTTTCTTCTCTTCCTCTCCCTTCTCTCCCTCCTCTCCCTCCTTCCCTTCCTCTCCCTTCTCCTCCTCCTCTCCCTTCCCCTTCTGCCCTTCCATCTCATTCAACCACTTCCTCCCCTCCTCCGTCGTCGCATCCACAATCCCTTCCTCCATCGTCAAAATCCCACTATTCCCCAACTTTTCCACAATCTCCTCTGCCTCCTCCACACTCATTTTCCCAAGAACCTTATTAACTTCATCCAGGCTCTCGGATTGAAGCGCCCGCTGCAGGCCGGGCGGGAAGGTTTTGAACATCTCCATCGCCGCAACCGAGTCGGCATCCGTGTCTTCGGGCGAGGGGATTTTGATGTTGAGTTTCGTATTCGGGTCGACGGCGTGGAGCTGGATTTGTTCAACCTCTGTAGGGCCGCCGGTGGCGTTCTTGGCGAGCTCTGCGGCGCGCGTTTTCATCTTGCCGTATGTTTCGTTTACGTCGTTGTAGAAGAGGACGGAGGCTTTGTGGTCCTTTGTGGTTATGCTGTTGTTTTTTGGCGGAAGGGCGGTTAGCTTATGTATTCATATTCGCTACATTTGAAATATAAATGGGAAGTAAAGTGCGGGGCTTTCAAACATACCGCTTGAAGAAGAGGCCTACGCCGTCACGGCCAAGAGAGCGACAGTATTGAAGCAGTAAGCCTTGATGCACACATTGGCGGGCATACTCTTCATTCCCGGATAGCTGGGCGTCGAAGCCTTCCATAAGTAGTTCATCCGTCTTGCGCTCCGTCAGAATCTCCGGGTGATCAGCGATGAATTGCAGACAACCGCTGTAGTCGCCGATTTTGAATTTGGCAAATCGCTTAGCCAGCGGGGTGACCTTAATGTTATCTTCATCTCCCTCGTCTTCAACATCAGCTTCAGCTCCAGAGGAGACTACGTCTGCCTCATTTGTGCTCTTGGCTGCACCTGGATTCAGCAGCTCAACCGAAGTAGTAGCTCCCGTTTTCTTCTCCTCAGATTCCGTAGCTTTGGGTTTCGACTTGTTAACAAAGCTGCTGTCAAAGCCGGTACGTATGCTTTCGCTGGTAATTTTTCTGGACTCCTCTTTCTCCAACTCAGCGAGCTTCTCCAATAACTGCTGTTGTAGGTCCAAGACTTTATTCTTATGCCCCTCCACACCTTTTATGTAGTCCTGGAACCGATTTTCCGTTTTGGATTCATCCAGCTCTTTCTTGACCTGGTCCACCAATGACCCCATCATCTGCGAGTACTTGGGCTGTTCCTTTTCCTGCGTAAATACACCTTCAGGAGCTGGCGGGGGAGTATCTTCGTTAGGGTCGCCAGCAGACTCGATTAGGGCCTGGAAAATAAGCTCATCTGGGTTCCTGGAGCTGTCTTCATGGCTCTTGAGTGAGGTTATCAGAGCATCAATGCGTTTTAACAGTCCATCGTTTATAATACGGGAGTATTTCAGGCTTTCGATTTCCTGGTGGCGCTGAATGCGCTGTTGGTGGATCTGATTCTGTTTCGCGCGAATGAAAGACCGTTTGTCGACGTTGGGATGCACCTCGATATCGGAGTCATCAGAGAGCTCGAGGGCATCCCATTTGCTATAGTCGAGAACCATATTGGCTAGCAGAAGCCAGGCGGGCACAAAATGGTGGATAAACAGGGGCGCACTTTAGGAAAATAGAGGGGTAACCAGTGCTTGGTTTGCGGTTGATTTGCGGTTTGCGGGGACGACTGGCGGACGAAGAGGGTGTATATCAAATTGTCTGCTGTAAAACCATGCCTTCAATTAAAAACTTACTATATTTTGTTTGGGAAATTATAGCTATTGAGAGCAAGGGATGTTTCTATTGTTATGAGTTAGATATACATGCCATCGGAGCGGAGTGGCGTTGTATGTATTTATTTGTTTATCTGGACTTTCGATTTTCCCCGTGATTCCACTCTGTTCTCCGAGAGCCGCAACTCAACCGACGACAACCTTTTCCTTGTTTGGCGCCGACCACAGCAGAACAAAACCATCCCATATCAACAACACCTTATATACACACTCGGGCCTGGGCATCACTCCTGGTTGCCTTGCTTCTGCTTAATATGGGACTGCCTTCTGTTTCCATCTCGCGATAGGTCCGAGTCGTTCGTGGGTTGAGCGGCGTTGAGCAAGGGAGCCCACGAGGGGAGGCATTGACGACCTCTCGAAATGCGCAGCTCAGGGCTGCTTGCGGCCGCTATTCCACGAGCAACATCACAGCGCATTGCTCATTCTGGATTAATCTCTTCAGCTCAAGTCTCCGCCTACGCTCAGAAAGCGTCGCTTGATGCAAACAATGACTTAAGGCGGCATTTTTCGATCATCTCAAACCCATCCCTACGTCCGAGTATCCTCCAGCAGCCTGAGAATCGAAAGCCATTTGCAGCTACTAACCATGCCGCGCCTTCATCCATTGCGAGGCCGGGCTGCCTCCAGAAGGTCCGATTCCTCTCCGCGACAAACGTACGACAGAATGTAACCAAGCATGAGCCACCGAACAACCCGCGGAACGCAAGAATGGAGCTGGAGGAAAAGGAAAAGGCCGCCTTGGAAGAAATGCATCGGGGCTTTGAGCTCACGGAAAAGGCATCACAGGCGGCGAAAATAAACCTCAGCGCCAGGCTAGCAAAGGATTCAGGCGGGAAAAAGGCAGGCTTTGGCGAGGTATGGCGCTTGTTGAAGATTGCTCGCCCAGAGGCCAAAATCCTGTCCGTAGCATTCCTCTGCCTACTCATCTCGTCATCCATCACAATGTCTATCCCGTTTTCCATTGGCAAGATCCTTGATATCGCAACACATGGCACCCCGGAAGGCGGCAATGAATTGTTCGGTCTCACTCTCCCAGTCTTTTACGGTGTTCTGGGCGGTATTCTTACCGTGGGCGCAGCGGCAAACTATGGCCGGATTATTATTCTACGGATTGTGGGCGAACGCATTGTTGCGAGGCTGCGGTCGAAGCTCTTCCGGCGGACTTTCATCCAGGACGCTGAGTTTTTTGATGCGAATCGCGTTGGTGACTTAATTTCCCGGTTAAGCTCTGATACGATAATCGTTGGCAAGAGTATTACGCAGAATCTTTCAGATGGGCTGAGAGCTTTTGTCAGTGGCGCTGCAGGTTTTGGTCTGATGGCATTTGTCAGTCTTAAACTGTCGAGTGTTCTCTTAGTCCTGCTGCCGCCGGTAGCGCTTGGGGCGTTTTTTTACGGAAGAGCGATAAGAAATCTCAGCCGCAAGATTCAGAAAAACCTGGGCAGCCTGACAAAAATTGCAGAGGAGCGGTTAGGGAATGTGAAGACAAGCCAGGCTTTCGCAGGGGAGATTTTGGAAGTTAATCGATATAACAAACAAGTCAGAAGGATTTTTGAGCTTGGAAAGAAAGAGTCGTTTGTTAGCGCGACATTCTTTAGTTCAGTGAGCATTTCATTTCCTCATACTTCTTTTATTAGCACCCTGATATGGACTGACAGGCGTTGTGTGTTTATAGACTGGTTTGATGGGCAACATGACGATCTTGAGTTTGCTTTATGTTGGTGGCGGGATGGTCCAATCCGGTGCTATATCAATTGGTGACTTGACTTCATTCCTCATGTATACTGCCTACGCTGGCTCAAGCATGTTCGGCCTCTCCAGTTTCTATTCGGAACTAATGAAGGGAGTTGGCGCTGCCAGCCGGCTGTTTGAACTCCAAGACCGCAATCCCACAGTCTCCCCCACCAAAGGAGACCATGTCATTTCTGCACGAGGACCAATCCGCTTTAAGAATCTAGATTTCAGCTACCCTACCCGACCTGCCGTGACCATATTTAAAGACCTTGACTTTGAAATCCCTCAGGGAAGCAACGTTGCGATCGTTGGCCCTTCAGGGGGTGGCAAATCAACCATTGCTTCCATGTTACTCCGGTTCTATAACCCTACAAACGGCCAAATCCTGATAGATGGCAAGGATATTTCTACGATGAATGCCAAATCATTACGAAGGAAAATCGGTGTCGTTTCTCAGGAGCCAGTACTTTTCTCTGGAACGATCGCTGATAACATCTCCTACGGAAAACCCCACGCGACAAGGGCGGAAATCATCGCAGCAGCACGCAAAGCCAACTGCCAATTCATAAGTGACTTCGTAAGCCTCCTTTTTCTTCGTCCTTTCCTCCTCATTTAATCAGGGGGCTAACTCACATCTCTCTTCCATCTAGCCTGACGGCCTCGACACCCACGTCGGCGCCCGCGGGGCCCAGCTATCTGGTGGCCAAAAGCAACGGATTGCCATCGCCCGCGCCCTTATCAAGAACCCCGACATCCTCATCCTCGACGAAGCCACATCTGCTTTGGACGCTGAATCCGAAACCCTTGTCAACAGCGCCCTCGCAGCACTCCTTCGCGGCAACCTCACAACCATCAGCATCGCTCACCGCCTCTCAACTATTAAACGCTCTGATACTATTGTTGTGCTCAGTTCAGATGGCCGTGTCGCGGAGCAGGGTACTTATAAAGAGTTAAGCTCGCGGCCGGATGGCGCATTTACGAAACTTATGGAGTGGCAGCTAAGCGGTGGAGAAGGTGGTGTTGGACCATTGCCGCATGACAGTTCTGCGGGACGGGGCCCGCCGTCTGAGAAGGAGGAATTGCAGCAAATGTTGCAGGAAGGGGACGAGGATTATGCAGAGGATGATGATGCAGAAGCAGAGGAGGAGACGGGTGATGAGGGAAAAGTGCAGAAAGAAGATAAGGAGGCTTCTTCTGAACGGGCTGGTGGGGAGGCTACTGTTACTGCTGGCATGGAAGAAGCCGAGCGGCAACGATCAAAATGAAACTGACGACTAGCAAGTTAAGATATGGATTGCTTGTCTGTCTCTTTTGCCTCCCCACCTTTCACCGACTTTCCCCGTTGCTTTCCCCTCGTCCCTCTTCTTGCTGTGATCATATTTTCCATTCCCCTTTCCGAGGCGCCGTATTCATGAGTCCAGTTACTTTTCCTTTCCTTTTTCTGGGTGGCTACAATCGATTATCTTTCAAGTTTTCAGCTCAGTTATTACTCGCTGTACAGTACCCCTTTAATCCATTTGATGGATTCCTTTGTTGTCTTACTTTTCTTGCTCTCCGAAATCTCATGGAGATGGCGTGCTTGTCTGGACCCCCTCTTCCCGTCAAACTTTTGCATACATCTCCCCTTTCCCTCCCAATATATATGTCAGTCGGCGTCACCCGACTTTGCTTGCTACCTTCCCACGATCCCATAACGGACCGTTGTCATTTCTAGTTTGTATATACACGCCAACCCTGAACCCTTACATTCTCCATTTCTACTCCCCACTCCTCCCAACCCAATTCTCCTCTCGTCTTCACCACTTTAGCCGATCAGATCAACACATCAATCAGTCTATCTATCAAGCACAAAAAACATGACATCCATACCGTTTCCCTAACCTCCCCCAAGCAACTTACTATGATCTTCTCTCGACTTGAACTTTTATGTGTGTTTGTGAGAGAGAGAGCGATGTTGTATGAATTAGCATATATAGATTTATTCATTTTCTAGGCTAGTTGTTCATCGATAGAGTCTATATGCAAATTTAACTATCTAGTAATTCTTCAAGATCAGTGGCTACCTTCAGTCCGATAAGGCCATATTCGGACACGAAACGCAAGCAGCCTTGTCTTGCTCATCTATAATAGCAGCATCGACGCCCACTGTGACGACCATGATATAAACAGGGGTACGGTGAAATAAAATATGTGAGAGGGAGAATCTGAGGGATTCTAACGATAAAGAAATAACGTGAGAAGCGGCCCAGGTCCAGTCGTAATAGTCATAATAAGGTACATAGTTTAAACCAGGAGCTTAATGAAGATCAAAACAGGCTAGCAGATTAGAAAACGAAAACTAATTAGCAACCAAAAAACTCAGCAAACTCCCCAACGTCAACCCAGCAACGAGCATAAAGCCCATAAATCCGCCCGCAGCCTCCCGCTCCTCGACAGCCACCCACTCAGCCGCACCCATCATACACGCTCCAGCAAGATACCCATTCGACACGCCGAAGAGAAACTGCGCGACGACTAGGTAAAAGACATCGCTGTTTATCCAGGCGCCGCGCCCGTTTATATTGCAGAGCATGTAGATGGGGATGAAGGAGAAGCGGGCTATGGAGAAGAGGAATAGTAAGAAGGGCCGGTGTGTTAGACTTATTTGGGGTATGAGGACTATGAGGCGGCCGACAAGGTCGCCGGAGTTCCAGAATAGGAGGGCCAGTGGGATGAAGATGGGGGGTTGGAAGAGTCGGGGGATTTGTTGACCTCCTGTCGTCGTGGTGGGGTTCGTGTTTCTAACGCTTTGGATTTGGTTGGTGAAAATTGGGTAGGCCATTGTGACGGCAAAGCAGAGGAAGACGGCCAGCGCCATCCAACGGAGTTTTTGGAAGAGGAGCCAAAGCGGTACTGGATTTTTGGGTTGACTGTTGACGGTGGTGGGTTCGAGTTCTTCTTCGTCGTCAGGCCTAGCGGCGATTGGGTTCTTCAAGAGGGGGGTTGATTTCCTTTGGCGGTTGATAAGGTAGAGAAAGGCACACAATGGAAGGGCAGATACTAGAGTCGCGGTGATGAAGAAGGCGAATGCGGATTTGGATGATTTGTATTGAACCACCTGATCGCTCACGGTCTCACTTTGCTCTGGGACGGCGAGGACGGAAACGATCTGGACAATACATGGCAAAACACCTGCTACGCCCTGCCCTGCCATGAGAGCCTGTGTATATTCGGCCCGCCCAAATCCGGAGGCAAAAGCGAACATCCCATTCTGATTAAATCCGGTTGCAAGACTGGCGCCAAACACCATGAAAAGCAGGAAGGTGAAGTAGACAGGGATGGAGACGTCACGAAATAGAACGGCAGAGAGGGCTAACAG